TCCTGATCTGCCTTCCTCTCTATCATTCCCCTACTCTCTTGTCCCCTTCCCCCCCATTTTCCTGTAGGGTAAGACAGATTTCCTCACCCAATTGGGTGTGCATGTTATTCCCTCCTTAAGTCAAATCCTATGAGAATAAGATTCACTCATTTCCTCTCACCTTCCCACATTTCCCCTCCACTGTAAGAGCCTTTTCTTTTCTGGTTATTTTTTGTGGGATAATTTACCCCATTCTACCTTTCCCTTTCTCCTTCTCCTAGTATATTCCTCTCTCACCCCTTAATTTTATTCTCCAGATATGACCCCTTCATTTTCAACTCACCCTGTGCTCTCCATCTATCTATCTATCTATCTATCTATCTATCTATCTATCTATCTATCTATCCATCTATCTATCTATCTATCTATATCTATATATACATATAATTTTTTCCTCTCCAACTACCCTAATACTGACAAAGGTCTCATGAGTTACAAATATCATTTTTCCATGCAGGAATGTAAACAGTTCAACCTTAATAAGCCTCTTATGATTTTCTCTTTCCTGTTTACCTCTTCATGTTCCACTCAAGTCTTGTATTTGAAAATCAAATTTTCTATTCAGCTCTGGTCTTTTCATCAAGAATGCTTGAAAGTCCTCTATTTCACTGAATGACCATTTTTTCCCCTGAAGTATTATACTCAGTTTTGCTGGGTAGGTGATTCTTGGTTGTAATCCTATTTCCTTTGCTCTCCAGAATATTATATTCCATGCCTTGCGGTCCCTTAATGTAGAAGCATCTAAATCTTGTGTTATCCTGATTGTGTTTCCACAACACTTGAATTGTTTCTTTCTGACTGCTTGTAATATTTTCTCCTTGACCTGGGAACTCTGGAATTTGGCTACAATATTCCTAGGAGTTTTCCTTTGGGGATCTCTTTCACCAAAAGAATCGGTGGATTCTTTCTATTTCTATTTTGCCCTCTGCTTCTAAAATATCAGGGCAGTTTTCCTTGATAATTTTTTGAAAGATGATGCCTAGGTTCTTTTTTTGATCATGTTTTTCAGATAGTCCAATAATTTTTAAATTCTCTCTCCTGGATCTATTTTCCAGGTCAGTTGTTTTTCCAATGAGATATTTCACATTGTTTTCTAATTTTTCATTCTTTTGGATTTGTTTTACAGTGTCTTGATTTCTCATAAAGTCACTAGCTTCCAATTTCTCTATTCTAATTTTTAAGGAAGTATTTTCTTCAGTAATCTTTTGGACTTCCTTTTCCATTTGGCCAATTTTGCTTTTTAGGACATTCTTGTCCTCATTGACTTTTTGGACCTCTTTTGCCATTTGGGTTAGGCTATTTTTTAAGGTGTTATTTTCTTCAGTATTTTTTTGGGTCTCCTTTAGCAAGCTGTTGACTTGTTTTTCATGATTTTCTTGCATCACTCTCACTTTTCCCTCTACTTCTCTTACTTGCTCCTCAAAATCCCTTTTGAGTTCTTCCAAGGCCTGGGACTGATTCATATTTTTCTTGGAGGCTTTGGATGTAGGAGCTTTGGCTTTGTTGTCTTGTTCTGGTTGTATGTTTTGATCTTCTTTATCACCAAAGTAAGATAATATAGTCTGACTCTTTTTGTATTTACTCATGATCCTGGCCAATTACTTGAGTTTTAAACTCTTTATTAAGGTAAGAGTCTGCTTCCAATGTGGAGCATGTACTGTCCCAAGTTTTGGGGGTTTGTACAGCTGTTTTCAGAGGTACTTCTAGGGACCTGTAAATTTTCAGTTTTTCCAAGGTGGTATGATAAGGGGCGAGGTGTTTCCTCTCCACTTCCACAACAAGCTCCACCCCACCAGTGTTCCTCCTTGCCCCAGGACCACCCCTCAGAACTATGACCCAGATCCAAGCATGGGCAAAGCAAGAGATTCCTGCCTCAGCATTGGCAAAGAGATCCTTGCAGTCCCCCTCTGATCAGTCACTCAATTCCCCCTCAGTTTGTGGGCTGGAAGCTCAGAAAAAAACCATGGCCCCAGGGCACGCTCAAGACTTGTGGCTGAGACCTAGCTCCTCTCTCATTGCAGTCACAGACTTTTCCCACTGACCTTCTAAGTTGTCTTTGGCGTTCAGGGGTTGAGAAGTCTGGAAACTGCCACAGCTGCCTGCGATTCAGTCCTCTGAGGCCTGCTCCAGGGTCACTGCGGCCTGTGCGCCTACGCCGAACTGCGCTCCTCTCCCTGCCTGGCGTCATATACCTTTCTGATCAACCATCCAGGCTGTCTTTGGCTGGAAATTTGTTTCACTCTGTCTTTTTGTGGGTTCTGCTGCTTTAGAATTTGTTTAGAGCCATTTTTTTAGGTATTTGGAGGGCTTTGGGAGAGAGTTCAAGACAGTCACTGCTTTCCCTCCTCCATCTTGGCTCCACCCCTGAGAGCCTCTTCTAGGAATTCTTGTTGGGCTTGTGTCCAATCTGCATATTTCTTTGAGGCTTTGTTTTTAGATGTTTCCAAACCATTGTCTTTTGTGGGTTTATTTGGCTTACTTTTTTTTTTTTCTTGAGCTTCCCTGTCACTTTATTAGCTTTTTTATAGCCAGGTTCTTTTTTGATTTGTTAATTTTTCAAACTTACTTCTTGATTTTGTACTTTATGTTAGTTTTGACCTCTGCTCACCCTGGGGGGAGGGGTGTGGAGAGTTTCTGATCTGAATTTCTACCTTTCATGTCCTTCTGCTGCTTTTACCACTCAGTCTGGGAGCCTGTAAGCTTTCAGTTCTTCTAAAGTGTTATAAGACAGGGAGAAGTCTGTTCACTCCCCTATTTGTCTATGCTCTGCAACTTCCTGTCCTCATATAATAGAATATTATAGTTAGATGGAAGCTTCAAATCATCTACTCCAATTCTTTCATTTTTTCAGATGAGGAAAGTGAAGCCCAAAAACATGAAGTTAATTATCCCAATGTCATATAATTAGTAAGTGGTCATCCCCCCCCCCACTATTCCACTAGGTAATATAACAACATTCCACCACTGGAGAGGAAAATACTATGCTATACAATGACTTTAAAGTAAATGTAACTTTATTCCTGCAGGGAAGCTAAAAAAAAAAAGTGAGATGATTCTTACAGCATTCATTGTGGATTATGTTATTAGAAATTACAGATACTAGGGAGGCAGCATAGTGAAGTCAAAGGAGCCTTGTACTTATGTTGAGGGTTTGTAATCTACCTTGGCCACTACATGGTAGCAACCACTATCTCCACTATGTGGCATTGGATGAGTCATAAAATTATAGAACTTTCAACTGAAAGGGATCTTATAAATAATTTAGTTCAAACCCTTTATTATACAAATCAAGAAATTAAAGTCAAGAGAAGGGAAATAATTTGGTCACGATTATACAGTTTATCAAGTAGTAAAGATAGAAGCCAGGTCATAAATTCTTCAAAACTGAGTTTCCTAACTTCATCCTCCAAAGCATATTCTAAGACAAAAAAACTCTTGAAACTTTCCCCACCTTCAGCTAAGAGGTGACCTTACTAGAACACCACCAGACAAGAAGAGCAAGAAGAAACCAGAGTAAGGCAGAGAAGATTGCCATAAAGAAAAAGAGTGCCATCCACTGTGAATTCAAAAGAACTTCAGTCAAAGAAAGTAGAAAAGCAAAGTAAATACAAAGTAAAAGCATAGATGGAGTAATACTGGTAACTTCCACGCCCCCCCACCCCTTGCCTCCCATTCTCTCCCCTTCCCCAATCCCCAGTATGGTGTCATCAACTGTTGGTGTAGGGACATAGGTTCACTAGGTTAAAAAAAATTGAACAGATTAATTTATCCATGCACTAATGGAAACAGAGAAGAACAATTAGTAAAATCATTAATTTGGGTCTTATTTATATTTCTAGAGGAAAAGATTAACCATCTGTTTAAATACTTTGCTCAGTCTTAATTAAAAACCATTACTAATCATAATGGAAAACAGTTAGGCAGCAAAATGGATAGAGCACCAAGCCTGAAGTCAGGAAGACTCATCTTCCTGAATTCAAATCTGGCTTCAGATACTTTCTAGCTATGTGACCCTGGGCAAGTTACTTAACCCAGTTGTCTCAGTTTCCTCCTCTGTAAAATGAGCTGGAGGAGAAAATGTCAAACCACTCTACTATCTTTGCCAAGAAAACCCCAAATGGGATAATGAAGAGTCAGACACGACTGAAAAATGACTGACTGACTGAATTTCATAGCAAAAACCATCCTTTCCTTTGTGGCTTGATATCAAGGTAGAAAACATGAATTTTTAACCACTTTTTATATCATGGTCTCCTTTGGCAACCTAGTGAAACCTACAGAGCCCTTCTCAGAACAATGTTTTAAAATATGTAACATAAGGGGCAGCTAGGTGGCATATGGATAGAGCACTGGCTCTGAAGTCAGGAGGACCTGAGTTCAAATCCAGCCTCCGACCAAACACTTGACACTCACTAGCTGTGTGACCCTGGGCAAATCACTTAACCCCAACTGCCTAAAAAAAGAAAAAAATACGCAATATAAGATTATAAAGGAAACCAATTATACTGAAACATAGTGATGACAATATTTTTTAAAACAAGTTCACAGATCCCAATTAAAGAACTACTGCCCTAAAGTCTTATTTAACTTTATAAAAACAGTGTGGTACAATGAAGAGTACTGACATTAGAATCGAAGACTTGGGCTAGACATCTGGCTCTGCTATTTATTCCTTCTGTGACCTTGGGAATATAACTTAACCCTCTCTGGGACTCAGTTTCCCTATCTAATGTCCTTTCCAGCTCTAAATCTTCTGACCTGTGATCTCACTACAAGATTATGCCTCACAATACAAACACAAATATAATACATGACTTGGCTAATTCTTCTCCCCAACTCCACATTTTAGTTGGTATTTATCTTTACTGTTCATCTACACATAAGCAAGAAAAGTCCCAGGATTTACTTTAGCCTGCTAGAGCATCATCCTGTCCTTCTCGAGTTAATATTAACTTGGGTTTAATCTATTTCATAATATCATTTAACAGTATAAGTAAGGGACTAGCAGATATAGCCCTGACAAGAACAAGAAGCTCCTTTGGAATCTACTGTAAGTTATTCTTTTTTTTACTTTTTTTCACTTGAGAATATTCAACTTGTTACTTTTGTAATTGCTGAGGACATGGATGGTTTCAGTGACCTCTGGGTGTTAAACTGAAACATTGGTAACTGCATTTTCAGAAGGGGGTAAGGGTGGCAATAGAGACATTTGAAATTCTCCTGTATTTATTTGAACTTTCTCATGTAAGTGGTTTGAAATAATAAGTTATTCTATTTCTGTCAAAAATATTAAAGGAAAGGGCAGGCCAATCAAAGGAAAATTTTGTCAATCAATAAAAACAGTTTCAACAAATGAACATAAAACAATTATCTTTGGAATGGATCTGAATCTCATTTCATTAGCAAAAATAATACATTACAGAAGTATGATTTGGGATAGGAGTCACATTTTATTTGACAAATAGCCTCATGATTCAGTTAGAGGAAACCTAAAAATTAAAATTACACCCTCCTTGTCAGTTACAGCAAAGACTTGGAAGAAGAGGGCAGAAGGTTGTAGATTGGGGTTAAAGGGAAAAATATTAGGGGAAACTAGACAAGAAGATGACCTCAAAGTACAGACTCAAGGGAAAAGTCTCCATGAGGTCTATAGAAATAAATTTTTTCCAATTAGATGTTGGAATAAAAATAATGACAATAGATCTGATGTTTATATACTACTCTGTGGCTTACAGAGTGACTTACATACATCATCTCTTTCTATCTTGTGACCTGTAAGGTAGGTTGAGCAACTTAGGGCAAGAAACGAAAAGAAGCCAAAAGAAAAAAGTGTGTAGGTTAAGCAGCCCAATGGATAGTGTGCTGGACCTAGAGTCAGGAAGACCTGAGTTCAAATCCAGCCTCCAATACTTACCAACTGTATGACCCTGAGCAAGTCATTTAACCTTTGTCTGCCTCAGTTTCCTCATCTGCAAAATGGAGGGAATAACACCCACCTCCCAGGATTGTCTTGAGGCAAAATGAAAGAATATTTGTAGATCATTTTGCAAGCAATAAAGCATGCCAAACAATGGCTAAGTGTATTTAGAGTCTATTTTTAATCTCATCAAGACACAGAGAAGTACTGCTTCTCTTACTATCAGGTAATAACCTGGTATCTTAGATGTACAAAAAGTGCTCAGAACCATACAAGGTAATATGGAGTCAAGTTCACTGAACCACTCTGAGCTAACCAATTCCTTGAACTCAACCCAGATTCCTCTTTTCATGAATATCAACACTAGAACAACATGGGTATTGGGTTCATAGGTCAGTATCCGAAGTCATGGCACCAGAAAAAGCCAACTAAGCCACCACATCTGATATAGATGTATACAACATCAAGGTGAAACTTGGTAAAAGGAGGCCCCCAACCCTTGGCCAATCTATAGTAATGAGGAAAATAACAACATTTTAGGGTATTCCACCAAGTGGGTTTCAATCCATGGTTACCTGGAAACCCTTAGATAGCATGAAGTGACCATTCCAGCATCTTGAGACAATAGGAATAATGAAGAGAAATGTCCTTTGGGTTATGAAAATATACCTTGGTTGTCATATACCAGAGGCCAGTGATTGATTTTGGGGATTAAGTAAAGTCTGTGAATAGTACAAATTAACGTAAGCATTAAGGGAGGGAAACAAAGGGGCAAAAAAAAAAGGAATCAAGAGAATAGAAGTGAAAAAAACAGAGACAAGAAATGTGAAAAGAAAGTGGAGGGAGAGAAAAAAAATCAGAGGTAGATGATAGAGGAGTGGGTGAGTGACAGGAAGTAATTGTCTCATTCATCATGTGCCATACATTGCTAATACCTGTGATACCTGAAAATATCATATTATCTCCAATGCCAGTCAGTTCTTTCTTGGCAGACAAGACTTCCAAATTTAGGCCTAGTCCCAAAAGAGAGTGAAGGGAGCATTTTGGTTCCCTCCCCTTTTATGTGAGGGCAAATTTCAACTAGACGTTAAGGTAAGTTTACGTACAGAAAGCCCCCAAATACAATAGCATGCCTTAGAAATAGTGAGTTCTTCTTTAGTGAAGGTATTTAAGCAGAAAATAGATGATCATTCATCAAGGATATTGTAAACAGAATTTATGATTTGAATAGAGGTTGGCCTAGATCAGGACTTTTTAACCCTTTTTGTGTCATGGACCCCCTTGGCAGTTTGGTGAAAATTATAGGCCCCTTCTCAGAATAATATATTCAAATGCATAAAGTAAAATACTAATATTACAAAGAAAACCAATTCTATTGGAACATAGTTATCCAAGTTTGTTTTTGCCTTCGGTTTTTGTTTTTTAAAAACAACTATACAGACCTCAGGCTGTATACCTGGACTAAAACCTGGACTAGATGAGCTCTTTCTTAGGTCTCTTCTAACTCTAATTATATTATTTTCATTCTGAGCCATAATCAAAAATTAAAATAACAGTTGGTGTAACTTTAGACAATAACATAACCTCATGAGCTTTAATTTCCTTATCTAAGTTTGGTTGGTTGTTTGTTTTCCTTTGAGGATCCTTTCCAAAAAACAATTCTGGAGGAAAATCATTGGACTGGTCTTCTCTAGTTCCAGCTCTTTCAATAACTCTTTTTACAAACTTGGACAAGTTAGTTTATCTCTCTAAAACACAGATTTCTTCTCTGAAAGATGACAAGGCTTGACTAAAGCCAGTCTAGGGACCCTTCCAGCTCAAATATTCAGGTTTATATGTAGACAAGAAGATCCCATCAGACAGTGAGAGGCTTCGTTATTCTCCATAGAACAGTTTCCTCCTTCCTTAATGGGACTTGAAGCAGTAACCTATTTCTGACTGCCTTGGTTAACTGGAATGATTCCAGAATGGTATTGGGCTATCTCCAAGTTAATTTTGACCAGCATTACACAAAAGGATATGATACCTTTGGCTTTAGGGCATAGGTACATATGTGGTATCCATATTACCAGTAGTAATAGTATTTTTCTATTTGTTTTATTTTTTGTCCCACACAAAATTTAGGATGCCAAGTTCTAAAAGGGAGAACTTTTTATTTCCCCCTTTTTATTTCTATGGATCATGACACCAACTTCTTTCTTTTGCTGGTTAAATATTGACCACATTTTGCCCGAGGATAGACTCATAGACTTGTAGACCTGGAAGGTACGTTAGAGATCACTGAGTGAAGCACTCGCAATTCCATTTTTAGAGGTTCATCTCTTCAGTTTGGATTTTGATTGATTGATTGATTGATTGTCAATTGATTGATTGATTTTGATTGAAAATCCACTTGGAAGGGGGGGGTCACAGAAGTTATTTCCAGTTAATTGAACCTCAATGAACGAGAATCCTCTGAGAACAGATTACAAATAAACATGGAAGGAAAGAAAACAAAAAAGGGGTCGGTGTACTCTGGAGTATAATGGACAAGATAAAAGATAAGCCTTCCTAATAGCAATGTAACAATTTTGCTTAAATTTTAACCCTCACCCCTGACCTCTATTCTTTATCCAGAGTTTTAACTAGGAATTCTGGCACCTGGGACAGCTAAGGCACAAAGGGAACTGTGGCCACTGTCCTGGATTCACAAACTCTCTTCTCATTCTGAAACCCTGTGATTTGGTGTCTCAGGCTGCCCAAGCAAAAATTCCCTTCCCACACTACCAGGCCCTAATTCGTCATCCCCATCCACCTGGATCCTACCCTGCTGTTCCTTCCCCTTTCAGCACCTTCAGGAAGCCCTGTTCTACTGTGAACAAAATTTCCTTTACCTTAAGCCATGACCTCATACTATACATCTTCTTGCACTTTTAGAAATTTGGATCCAGGAGTATGTTAGTAAATGTTTAACAACCAGCTCTCTGGGGGGAAAAATGTACTTAGAACACACTTTTAAGTTTAACTTGAATTATTAAGAATTTTCTCCATCTCTCTCTTATGGCTAGGCAATCAATAACAACAACCAAAAAAAAAAAAAAAACCCAAACCCTGATTTGTAGCATTTGCTGATTTCTGAGGAATAAATGCTCTTACTGCAAATTTAACAATTGGCTCTTGACACTAGGTGAGCCAGATCTAGCATGCCACTGCATGACTCCACCTGAAAGATACTGCATCCTTGGCCACTCTCTGGAATTATGTGTTCTTTCTCTCAGGCCTCCTGCTACACTGGGACGGGAGAAGGAGAAATACTACTTGCTCCTCACTGTCAACTCCAGATTCTCCCTCTACTTTTCTCCCTCAAAAACGTTTCTTTACAACAATCCTAGGGGCTGGTATCAATCAGCCCCCTTTTCAAGGACATCAGCACTACCCCTGCAGTTTTCCCCTCTACCTTATCCTTTGTTCTGAGACTTAGTTACTTCAATAGACACATTGATATCTTCTCAAACACTCGGGTCTCCCCTGAAATGTATCCTGTTCAGCTCAGTACCTCTTCAGCTCATTACATAGCTCTCCATCCATTGAGGCAGCTAGGTGGCACAGTGTACAAAGCACTGAGCCTGGAGTCAGGAAGATCTGAGTTTAAATATGGCTTCAAACACTTTCTAGCTATAAATGGACAAGTCACTTAACCTCAGTTTGTCTCAGTTATCTTAACTGTAAAATGGGGATAATAACAGCACCTACCTCCCAGAGTTGTTGTGAGGATCAAATGAGACATTTGTCACACTTAACACTGTGCCTGGCATCTAGCAGGCACTATATAAATGTTTATTCCTTTCCCTTCCATCCCCATTCCAGTCCAGTCCTCTCTCTACCAGGGGCAGCTAGATGATATAGTGGATAAAGCACTGGGCCTGGAGTCAGGAAGATCTGAGTTCAAATTTGGCTTCAGGCCAAATGTGACCCTGGGCACGTCATTTAACCCCTATTTGATTCAGTTTCTTATCTGTAAAATGGGGACACACTAAAGAAGGCAATGGCAAACCAGGTTTCCCAAGAAAACCCCATGGGCAAGTCCATGGGGTCACAAAGAGTCAGACATAACTAAATGACTAAACAGCAGCCTCTGTCTGCCACAGGTTCTAGCCTACAGGAAAGTCTGAGAAGTTTGATAGCACAAAACTCTGAAGGAAATGAAGGTCCCTAGCATAAGTGAGGCAGAGGCTTCCAAAGAAAGATATGGCCTGAGACAGTGTCTCCCTTTCCCAGGCTTGCCTTCTTCTTGAATTGTTTCCCCTTTCCCCATATCCTCTCATGCTTCAAGGTGGCCCCTCCCCCTGCCTCCATAGGCTAATTGGATGAGGAGAGGGTTCTCCAGTTCAGTGTGGGTCCTTGAGCTGGTATGGATGTCAACAGTCCCTGGATTTGGAGTCCAAGGATGTAGTTTCAAATCCCAGCTTTATCACTTACTACTTACTGCCTATATGACCTTAGATAAGTTACTTCACTTGTGGCAGCCTCAGTTTTCTGAACTATATAATGAAGTGGTTGAACCCAATGACTGCTGAGATCCCTTCCTATGATCTCACTGAGCCATCATATCCTGCCTAGGCCTCTGTTTGGGGGCAGATAGGTGGCTCATTGGATAGAGTACCGAGCCTGGAGTTCAGGATAAGAACTGAGTTCAAATCTTATCTCAGATATTTAATAGCTATGTGACCCTGGGCAAATCACTTATCCCTGCTTGCCTCAGTTTCCTCATCTGTAAAATGAGCTGGAAAAGGAAATGGCAAACCATTCCAATATCTTCTCCAAGAAAACCCCAAAAAGGGGTCATAAAGAGTCCAACATGAGTGAAAATGACTGAACAACAAAAACAAAAGGCCTCTGTTTGTGCAGAGCTTGATTAAGAAATGTATTTCTATTGCACATGTATAGCCTATATCAGATTGCATACCATCTTGGGGAGGGGGGAGAGGAGGGAGAGAGGGAGAAAAAAGAACACAGAAGTGTCCTCCATATCTGCCTCCATTCTTCCCTGCCCCAACATTCACTATGGGTGATTCCGGTTCCCCGGGATTTGCTGGAGCTATCCCATATAGGCTTTCAATATGAGCATTTAATCCTTGGAAATTAGTAAATGCTACAAATCAGGAGTTGATTTATTATTTTGTTGACTGTCCAGACTTAAGAAATTGGTGGAGAAGATATTAACAACGCCATTTAAAATGTCATTTTTAAAGTGTGTCCTGCATACTTTTTTTTTCCTCACAGAGCTGGTTGTTAAATATTTACCAATACACACTCTCAAACCCCTCCTGAAGCCACTCCACCTCAATTCCCTGGGGGCATGAGATGGTAAGACATGACTCCAGACCATATCAGGAAGGAAGGACTGCCCCCTCAGAAACTGGTGCTGAGACAAAGCCCCAACCACTCCACCCTAAACACATCTCTGCCTCCATCTCTTCTCTTAAGAATTAACTATCCACTATTTCAGATGCAATTTCTCCTTTCTTTAGCACTCAGTCTTAGCCAGTAAATCCACAAAATGCAAAGCATTTACATTGCACAGAGTTTGGTCACAGACCTCCATGTTACATAAGCCAGACATTTTAACCAACACCATAATGTTATTATCTTTTTTAACTTATTTTAGAAATGTTTCTAAGGAAAATGCAGCTGCCCATCTACTTGCTCCTGCTAGTGGCTTGGATTCCAAAAGCTATTTTCTGCCAATCTGACACTACAGAGCAGAGTCCTCAGGCCAATCCCGGACTGGCCTATGACAAAATAAGGTCTGCAAATTCAGAATTCACTGGAAGATTGTTAAAGCTGTTGGTTTCTGAAAATCCTCACAAGAATGTCTTCTTCTCTCCTGTGAGCATTGCCACTGCCTTTGCCATGCTCTCCCTGGGGGCCAAAACGGCCACCCTAACTAACCTTTTGGAGGGGTTGGGTTTTAATCTCACAGAGCTTCAGGAAAGGGAGATCCACGAAGGTTTCCAAGATCTTGTCCATCTACTGAACAACACAGAAGGCAAAGTTCAGCTGGAAAGTGGCAATGGCCTCTTTATTAATGATCAGCTGGAACCACTCCAAAAATTCTTAGATGATGTCAAGAACTTATATGGAGCCGAAGTGTTTGCTGCAAACTTCAAAGATTCTGAAGGTGCTAAGAAGCAGATTAATGATTATGTAAATGAGAAAACACACGGAAAAATTCCAGAATTAATCAAGGATCTAGACCCCAGAACCTTAATGGTTCTCATAAACCACATTTTTTTTAAGGGTAAGACTTCTCATATGTATCTTGTATGCATCAGCATTTCCTTCATGTTCACAATTTCGAATATGCCTGTATCTCAATTTATTTAATGTAGCTCTGTTCTTGAAAACTGCATATAAATCAAATGATTATAAATGAAATTTTCCTGTTACTCTGTATTATCTTTGAGAGTTAATGTGTTTAATTTCAGATCAACTATTTGAATCATTTTTTAATTAAATTTTTTTCCAGATTGACTCTAATGGGCAAGGACACCTAATGCTTTAGCTTAAGTTTCTCTGTCTGTCTGATAACCTTTATTTTATTCAGGAACTACAGCATAATGTGGTTGAAATAGTCTGGAGTTTGGTTCAAATCCTGGCAATACCGCATACTTTCTGCAGTGACTATGGGCAAATCACTTTACTTTTATGGGACATAGTTTTCTCCTCTGGAAAATGAGGCCACATTTTCAAGGTCATTTACAGTTCTAAATCCTGTAATTCTACATTCTGGTGGATATATTCATGTTATATGGGTAAAGCTCACTGTTTAAAGGTAACTTAGAATGAATGCCTTTGTAAAGCTGAAAAAATCTCTTCCCAAAATGAATAATCACTAATCTTTGTGATTTGTTGGGGTTTGGGTGGGATTTTGTTTTTAACTATAACAAAGACTTGGCAGCCTACCTGTAACATGGATGTGTAGAGGTACATATAGAAATATCACATAACTCCAGGGAAACTGGAATTCTACCTTTGTAGGGTTTTGGAGGGTGACCATAGTTGAGTGATCACTCCCTCGATCTCCTATTGTCAAGAGGAACATTGGGTATAGATAGTTTTATCTATTTGTTATACATCAGCTATTTGAAGTAGAGAGGAAGGATTCTTTTGGAGGTTCAGGAGAAAAGCTACTTTCCCTGGTCAAACTAACATTTTTTTTTCTCTCATACATGCCTCTGCTACATGGGTAGGTACAAGAGGTGGCAGGAAAGAGAGAGACAAAGACAGAGAGAGACAGAGACACAGAGAGAGACAGAGATGGAGAGACAGAGATGGAGAGACAGAGACAGAGAAAGAGAGAGACAGAGAGAAGCTCCACTTCACACCTGGAGGGTAACTGTTAGTTTAATATCATCCAGCTGAGCCATACCACCATATAATTATTACACAAAAGACAATCCTGAGTACCAAGCAAACTTATTTATCAAAGCACATAAGTAAAATACTAATCAGGGAAGCCATATAGATGCATTTAGGCAGTAGAATACTCGAGTTAAGAGGCATTATGACCCATGAGTTAGATGAAACTGCAGCTGGGTAAGAACAATCTCACCCAGTGAGTCTATACTTACCAGTCTCTAGGGAGTGAAAGCTCTAGGAATCAAGAGAAATATTAAGGCACTGGCTTTTCCCCATATGAATGTGGCCTCTGAGGGTCTACTGTTCACCATTCAAAATCTGTACCTGACATCCTCTCCCTTTTCTCTTCTCTCTCAATAGTATCTCAGCCAACCAAGAGTCACATCTCTCTCCATGACTCCCTACAGTGTCATAAGATTATCCTTTATGGAGGCACCAAGCCTACATAGGATCTAGGCCCACATAAATACTTTATTTATCGAAGAAAAGCCTATTCTAATTTAATTTTATTTTCACAATCTTCAGTTCAATCCGGTGAACATGTATTAAGTATTACTACATGCAGGACACAGTATTAATTTCGAAAAACAGACCCTGTTCTCAAGGAGCTTATATTCTGATGGGGGGGGTATGACATGTAAACAAATATAAAATGAGCTATTTGAAGGAGAAAGCATTAAAGACTGAGGAAAAGTTCCAACAGGAGGTGGTACCTGAAGTGACCATTGGCAGAAGCTAAAATTCTAAGGAGTGAAGGTGACATGGGAATGAATTCTAGGCATGGGGCACGGAAGCAGACGTTGGAATATTGAGTTTGAGAAAAAGCTAGCAACTCACTTTGGTTAGAATGGAGCATATGAAGGGGAATAATATTAAATAATGCCTGAAAAGTGGGTAGGAAAAAGTTTACAGGGAGCATTATATTCCAAGGTAGAATACATTTTATACTAAAGGTTTCAGCACCAAGTGGCACTTAAAGCTATTCAGTGGGTCTCATACCCACCCTAGTGGTTTTGTGCATACCTAACAAGGAGGGAAGTACTAAGTCAATGCTGTGGGCTCTATGGTTATCAGAGAGTCATTGATTGACCTTGCCTCCCTCAGCTCTGCCTCTCTGTATAGGCAAGTACCACTTGTCACCTAGGAATATGTAGACTTGTATAGCTACCCAATAGAATAACCCACGTCCATTAGCTAAGCTCTTTTGAGACATAATATTTCATTATGTCACTGATCACATTACCTTAACATAGTAGCCTTGGTTCTTCCTCCAACCCCCTCCAAGCCACCATTCAAATGGTCATCCTCCTAGAATAAGGAACACTCCCTTAATTTGTCCCTACTTATAAACTTTAAATAAAATGTATTTCTTCAGGCCACCATGACTTACGGTAGGTTAATGAGATCTAAACTCAAAGTAATAGACACAGAGCAGACAAGCTACCACAACTGGTCAATCAGAAAGGGAAAAAGCCATTTGGCAAGAAAACACAAGTTGTCCCTAAGTCCTATTTCTTAAGGCAGCCCTTCCATTCTTGCTCCAGCCTGCCTTTATGACCTCATTTAGTTCTCTTCTCCTCTATCTCCTCTAAGCTCTAACCAAAATGAACCACTATACTTCATGCTTTTCTTTGCTCATTCCATCTTCTCAGTCTGGAAGGCCTCCTCCCACATGTCTATCCACAAAAATTCTATACCTCCTTTAAGATCCAGCTCAAATACTACCTCTTCCAGGGAGCTTTCTTCAATCCATACAGTATAAATTGACAGCCTCAGAGTATTTTAATGGCACTTTTTCTATGCTCTTATTGAGACATGTTTTACATGGAGCTACTTCTATGGTTAGGTAAGTCCTGTCTACTCTATTAGATTGTAATCTCCATGAGGTGTTTCATCTCCTCCAGGGCCTAACAAGGATTCTCTTTAGGCTGGTAGTCCAGTGAATGGTAGGCACTTAATAAAAATGTATTCTTTGAACTCAGTTGAATACTAACTATATACTCCAGCACTCAACATTCCCAATTTACAAGGGTATACAATGATTTGTTCTTTATTGTTTCTGCAGGAAACTGGGAGACCTCTTTTAATTCCACCCTTACTGAACTGCAGGACTTTTATGTGGATAAGAACACAACAGTACAAGTGCCAATGATGATGAAAAGTGAAAAATTGTACTACCACCGTGATGATGAGCTGTTCTCTTCAATGGTCGTCCTGCCCTATGAGGGGAATGCCTGCTTAATTTTAGCTCTACCAGATGAAGGCAAATTAGAGCAGGCACTGGATGCTATAATCACTAAGAAAGGAATATCACATTCTAGATTTCTGGAAAAAAGGTATGGTCATAGGACTGCTAATAGCTAACAGCTATGATCAAGCAAACAATTCACAAGCTAAATTGTTAAGTGTTTATTTCATGCCAAACACTATGATAAATACTAAATATACAAAAGAAGGCAAAAAAAACCACAGCCCCTGCCCTCACATTTTAATGGTAAAGACAACATAAAATCAACCATGTATATATGAGATATACACAGTATAAATGGGAGGTAAACCAAGAGAAAAAACACTAGCAGTTGGAAGCGAAGAGGGGACCAGGAAAGTGATCTTGCAGAAGATAAGATGTCAACTGAGTATTGGCAAAAGGGAAGCCAGGAGGTGGAGACAAGGAGGTAGAGCTTCCCAGACATGGGAGAGAGCCAGTGCAAAGGCAGTCAGGAGGACTGTCAAGAAGGTCAGTGTTTCTGGATTACAAAGTATATAAAGGGGAGTAAAGTGGAAGAAGACTGAAAAGGTAGGAAGGGGCTAGGTCGTGAAAGACTTTTAAAAGCAGAGAATTTTATATTTGATCCTGAAAGTAATAGGGAGCCATGGGAATTTATTGTGTGGCGAGCTAGGAATGGCATGATTCCTTCAGATTACATTGGCATTTGTGTGAAGAGTAAATTAGAGTAGTGAGAAACTTGAGGCAAGGAGACCAACCAACAGGCTACTGTAACAGTCCAGGTGTGAAGTGATATGAGCTTACACTAAGGTAGCAACTGTGTGAATGGAGATAAGGGGACAAGTAGAAGAGATGTGTTGAAGGAAAAGGGCAGCTAGGTGGCACAGTGGACAGAGCTCAGGACCTAGAGTCAGGAAGACCTGACTCAAATCCAGCCTCAGAAACTTACTACTTGTATGACCCTGGTCAAGTTACTTAATCCTTTTTACCTCAGTTTCCTCATCTGTAAAATGATCTCGAGGAGGAAATGGCAAACCACTCTAGTACCTTTGCCAAGAAAACCCCAAATGGAGTGACAAAGAGTTGGACGTGACTAAAATGAATGAACGACAACTTGAAGATAGAAACAATAAGACTTGGCAGCAGACTGATATGTGGAGTGAGTGTAAGAAAAGAATTAAGGATGACTCTGAGGTGATGAACCTGTATTACTGGAAGGATGGGGGTGCCCTTGACAGTAATAGAAAAGTTGGGAAAGGAGAGAGTACAAAGGGAAATATAATGAGTTTAGTTTAGGCATGTTGAGTGTGAAATGCATGTGGGACATCAAGTTCAAGATACGCAAGAACAGTTGGTAATGTAGAACCAGGAGAGACTGGCTATATAGATTTAATAATAGTCTACTTCGAGATGATAATTGAAGCCATGGGAGTGATGAGATCTCCAAATAAGATACTATAGAGGGGGAAAAGGAGAGGGTCTGTGACAAAGCCTTAGGGGACATTCACCCACCATTAGTGGGCATGCTCTGGATGAAGAACCAGGGAAGGACATTGACAAAGAATGACCAGACAGGTAGGAGGAGAACTAGGAGAGAGCAGTGTCACAAAAATCTAAAGAGAAGAGAGTATCCATAGGGAAAAGGTAATCATAGCGAAAGTTTTAGAAAGGCCAAAAAGGACGCTGAGAAAAGTTCGTTAGATTTGGCAATTAAGAAATCGTGGGTGACTTTGAAGAGAGCAGTTTCAGTTGAATGATGAAGTTGAAACCCAGACTGCAGAAAGTGAGAAGAGAGAATGTGTAGGCACAAATTGTGGAGGGCTTTCTCAGGGAGTTCAGTCTATAAGAGAAGGAGAACTATAGGGCAATAGCTAGCAGGAATGGTGGGGTTGAGTTATGTTTTTTTAAGTGAAGGAGACATGGGCATGCTTGGAGGCAGCAGGGAAGCAGCCAATAGATAGGAAGAGATTAGATTAGTGGAAAAGTGGAGATGATACAGGGAGTAATCTTCTGAAGAAGATGGAATGAAATCACTTCTGCAAATAAAAGGGTTTTCCTTGGCAAGCGGAAGGGCCACCTCTTCATGTGAAATAGAGGTGAAGGAGGAGATAACGGAAGAGGAGGGATGCAAGATGAGGAGGGGGAGGGAAAAAGAGGGAACCCTTGTCAAATGGCTTCAGTTTTCTTCAGTGAAGTATGAGATGAGGTCCTCACTTAGAGGGTTGGGGACAGGGTATTAGGGGAAGCTCAGAGGAAAGATGAAAAGGTTGGTATAGCCATGGTGGTGAAAAGAAGTATAAAAATATTGCCCTGCTGCAGCGAGGTCCCTGTTAAGATTATATAACATAAATGTGTAGTGGACCCAATCAGAAGGTAATTTTCTCTAATGTTATTCAACTCCTCAACACATGTTGAGGAATGAAAGTGGTAGACAGTGGGTGTAATCCAAAGTTAGGGTTTGGCAAGGTATGATCAATATAAGACAAGGATAAGGAATTAGAGTACAGAGGATAGTGTAGAGTGTAGTGAGGATTTCCAGCTTGTGATGTATTTTAGATACATTACCCACTTGATTCTCACAATAATCCTTTTAGATATGAAAGAGATAATGTCCCAGCAAAACTCTGAGAGGCGGGTTTGGGCTCAACTAGATATGTCCAAAAGGCTGCTCCAGGAGACAGTGCCCTCCTCCCCCACCACAGGAAATCTTCCAGGAGAAGCTATTAGGAGACCAAATAAATCCAGAATCTCAGAACTGGAAGGACCTCAAAGGCCATCTAGTTCAATTAAGCTTAGAATAGCAATTGGTACTACAATAACCCAGACAAGAGAACACCCTATAGAGCAGGGGTTCTTAACCCATTTGGGGGGGGGGAGTTTGTTTTTGTTTTGTTTTTTTGGGTTGGTTTTTTTTTGCAATTCCTGGACTCCTTTGGCCATCTGGTCAAGCCTATGGACCCTTTCTCAGAATAATGTTTTTAAATGCCTAAAATAAAGTACATTGGATTAGAAAGAAAACCAACTCTACTGAAATACAGTTTTCAAAATATATTTTAAACAAGGTTACCAATTTTACACACACACACACACACACACACACACACACACCAGTTAAGCCCTATAATAGTTCTAGCGCTTGTTGAGGATGACTTGTAAAGGGATTAGAGAGGATTTCAATCCAGGCACAGGTTGGATTAATATGACCTTAAGGTCCCTTTTAGTTCTGATATTCTGTAGTGCTTTGAGGGATGAGTAGAAAAGGCGGTCTCCATCTGCAAGGATCTTATAATCTTGAAGTTGTTGTTCAGTCATTTTTCAGTCACATCCAACTCTTTATGACCCCATTTGGGGTTTTCCTGGCAAAGATACTGGAGTGGTTTGCCATTTCCTTCTACAGCTCATTTTATGGATGGGGAAATTGAGGCAAACAGCATTAAGTGACTTGCCCAGGGTCACACAGCTAGAAAGTGTCTGAGACCAGATTTGAACTCAGATCTTCCTAATTCTAGTCCCAGTGCTTTATCCATTGTGTCACCTAGCTGCCCATAATCTTGGTACCCCAGGTTTATATGTTTCTTAGCTCTGCTCAGGTAGGCTTACAGATCTTTCCCTACCTTCCCTCAGGACTGAAGATAATATAGAATTTGACCATGATTGCTACAGGAAGGATTTTTGCTTTGTATGCCTTGTTTTCTGGGGCAGCAGTAGGCTATGGTTAAGCTGTTAGTAAAGTCATTGTATGGGCAGCTACGTGGCACAATGGCGAGATCACTGGGCTTGGAATCAGGAAGACTAATTTTGAGTTCAAATCCAGCCTCAGACACTTACTAGTTGTGTGACCCTGGGCAAGTCACTTAACACTGTTTGCTTCAGTTTCCTCAACTGTAAAATGATCTGGAAAAGGAAACGGCAAACACCTCCAGTATCTTTGCCAAGAAAACCCCAAATGGGGTCACAAAGAGTCAGTCAGAACAACAACCAAAAGGTCCATTGAGTCCATTGCTTTGGGAAGCTGAATCATTTAGCAATCAGCAAGTAAAGTGGCGCATTTCAGCTCCTCCTGGGTCTCTTTTCCAACAGGAAGGTGGACATTTATCTGCCCAGGATCTCAATCTCCACTAGTTATGAACTCGAAGACCTGCTTCCAAAAATTGGCATAACAGATGTATTCACTGGCAATGCAGACCTCACAGGCATCTCCACACAATTCAAACTACAAATTTCCAAGGTAAGGATGTCAACTCTGTGACTTTATTTCTGAGGGACACTCTAACCTTACTGAAATAAACCAACATTTTTAAAATAAAAAATGCATAAATAGAATTTATATGTATAATAGGACTGGGCAATGTGTTGGATGTGTGGCTATCACTCTGTCACAACGCCTTTAAATTCCTCTTTTGATGCCAGTTTGGGTTATATAGATAACTCTAAGTTCTTAAAGCTTATGTCAGGGGAACACAAACTCTGGCAGGTCCTACAAAGTTGGAAAATATCAAATATAGGTTTGGTAATGTCTGTCATTACCAAGACATACTTACATAAGTCTGTCATCTGAAAAGAACAGCTGGGTGACACAGCAGACAGAGTCAGGAAGACTCATCTTTGTGAGTTCAAATCTCACCTCACTTACTAGTTATGTGCCTTTGTATAAGTCACTTAACCCTGTTTGTCTCAGTTTCCTCATCTGTAAAATGAACTGGAGAAGGAAATGGTAAACCACTCCAGAATCTTGGCCAAGAAAAACCCAAAAGGGGGTCAGAAGAGTCAGATATGACTGAAATGACTACAAATAACAACAAAGGGAGTGTTAAATCAAGATGCGTGTGCAAGAGTAAAGGTTCAAATCTTCTAGATCAATAGCCACCTTTTTTGTATCATTTATATCTTGGTATCCCCTCTGGTGAAGCCTATGGACTCCTCAGAATAATGTTTTCAAATGCATAAAATAAAATGCATTGGATTGCAAAGGAAAGTAATTATATTGAAATAGAGTTAACAAAACATTTTTTAAAAACAAGTTTAAAGACTTTGGTTAGGAACCCCTGTAGAGACAGTTTCATAGCATGTGTGTATAGAGAGGGTTCAACTCTCAAACATAGCCTGAAGAAACCAAATGCTTGGGGCAGCTATATGGCACAGTGGATAGAGCTCTGGCCTTGGAGTCAGAAGGACTTGAGTTCAAATCCCCTCTCAGACCAGACACTTGACACTTACTAGCTATGTGACCCTGGGCAAGTCACTTAACCCCAATTAAGTTGCCCAAGAAAGAAAAAGAAAAGAAACCAAATGCTTTATACAGCCTCTACTTCTGGTTCATGGGGCAGGTTTTATCTCTCTGGCCCTAAGTATTCACACATGCAAAAGGAGAAAATTGAACTAGATGATCTCTAAACTTCATTATATTCTATCTTACTAAACTTCTACTCATTCTTTTCTATTCTATTTTAAAGTACAACCCCTTGCTTCTCTCTCTTTTTTTTTTTTACCACTTGTTTCTTGGAAATGATCTTTAGGACTAGACCTCCCCATACTATAAAATGAAAAAAAATGTTGTCTTTTGTGACCTTAGCTTTTCCATAACGGGCTTTTTTCCCTTCTCTGTGGTTCCTCCAGCATTCTTCAAATACTCAGGCCTCCAGTACTCTCTTTCCTCATCCCAATGCCTAGTAATTGCTTAAATCCACCTAGAATTAATTCCAAGAAGATTTACATTTTCAAACTGCATCTTCAATGGTGGAATGAATTTTGGTTGTTCAGTCGTTTCAGTTGTGTCTGACTCTTCATGATCCCATTATGGGTTTTTTTTGACAAAGATTTGGAGTGGTTTGCCATTTCCCTCTCCAGATCAATTTACAATGATAATGAAACTGAGGCAAACAGAGTTAAGTGACTTGCCCAGGGTCACAAAGCTAGTAAGTGTCTGAGGTCAGATTTGAATTCAGGAAGATGAGTCTTCCTGACTCCAGGCCCCACCCTCTATTCACTGCACCATCTAGCTGTTGAAAGAATGGTTTTATCCAAATACTGGCTCTGGTACTTCTTACCTGAGTGGCCTTATAAAAATGACATTTCCCTTCTGAGTTTCTGTGTCCACATTTGTACTGCCAGATGTGCTTTGGAGTCCCTTTGTGTCCCTTCTAGTTACACCTCCTATGAATTTCAAGTCTATGGGAACAAGTTGATGAGGAATTACCCCATGTTCTGGAAATCCCAAATAGACTTACTCCCTCCTATTCTGCCCTTGTGTAATGTTAACCCTGGTACTCTGTTAGAGGCTTGCTTTCAGCTATGTCAGGTTAATTGTTACCCAGAGTGACAATGTGTACCTTTCCTCTACTAGGTGTTACACAAGGCGGCACTTGAGGTGAGCGAAAATGGCACCGTGGCAGCTGCTGTCACAGACATTGAAATCCAGCGCAATATAGCGGCTCCCCCTGTCATCGTAAATTTCAACAGGCCCTTCTTTATGTCCCTTATGGATACAAACATTCACCAGGACTTATTTGTGGGAAAAATTGTAGACCCCACAGCCAAACATTGATGGACTGGGGTTATCTGCGACTCAGAAGCTACTATTGCAATAAATTTAAAAAAAAAATATATAAGCCAAGGTGAGTGTGCAGAGTTTAGCATTTGGAACAGTTTCCACAAAGGATCTTCAACCAATCAATCAAAAAGCATTTATTAAATATCTGTGTGTCAGGCACTGGAGAAGGAGGGGAGGAGAAATATTTTTTAACTCACATTCCTTTTTTTACTTTCAGTTTCAAATTCTCTCCCTCTCTCCACACCCTTTCTCTCCCATCCATTATGCACATGAAGTCATATAAAACACACTTCCACATTAGCCATGTTGCAAACAATTTTAAAAGCAAGAAAAATAAAGAAAGTAAAAAAAAATGCTTCAATCTATATTCAGAGTTCATCAGTTCTCTCTCTCAAGGTGGATAGCATTTTCCATCACGTGTCCTTTGAAATTGTCATGGATAATTGTATTAATCACAGGTAGCTAGGTGGCACAGGGGATAGAACTCTTCCTGAATTAAAATATGGCATCAGACACTTACTAGCTGTGAGACCCTGGCCAAGTCGCTTACCCCTGTTTGCCTCAGTTTCCTCCTCTGTAATAATCTAGAGAAGAAAATAGCAAAGCACTCCAGTATCTTTGCCAAGAAAGTCCCCAAATGGGGTCACAAAGAGTCAGACTGAAAAATGACTGAACAACAACACTGTTTTGATCAGAGTAGCTAAGTCTTTTACGGTTGATTATTATTATAATGAACAAACATTTATTAAGTGTGCACACATTGTGTCAAGAACTTTAGAAATATTTAATTTGTATCTGGAGATACAGACAAACATACACATACACACAAATAATCCTTTTCTCAAGGAACTTACATGCTACAGGAGATAGTATGTACACACTTAAATAGATGCAATATAAGTATATCAAAATATACAGAAAATAAACACAAGGCATTAGGGGATATACTAGTAGCTAAAAGGATCAAGAAAATCCAAGTGTAGGAGATGGCATTTAAGAAGCACCTTAAAGGAAATAAAGGCTCTTAAAGAGGCAAGGAGAGAGTACATTCTAGACATGGGGCGTAACATGGGGAAGTCAGGGACACAGGGGGAGAAGAGTCTACGTAGCAAAGACAAGAGATGGATATCTGTTAGATAGTGTTCCATAGGTATCCATTCAACGTCAAAAGGTCAAAAGGAATGCTGGATGCATGCCCCCGACCTAGTCTCCGAGGCAGATTTGTAGGACAGTATGGAAAAGAGTCAGACAGTAAAGACAAGCTGGTATGGATTGGTATCTGTACTACTGGGTTGGATATCCTTGTTACTGGGGTCAATGGTGTAGTATAAAAAGTCCTGGACTTAAAAAAACAGCAATGATAACGGGTTTAAGTCTGAGCTCTAACACATACTACTCATTTGCTATGAGGATAATAATATCTGTACTACCCATTTTGCAGAAAATCTATGGAAAAGATGTTACAGAAATGTGAACTATTTTTGTCATTGTTGGTTAAAAAAAAACCATTGGGCCTCTGAGCACCCATTGCAGGGAGATACAAACTCGAATGAATACCTCTACACATTTGAAATATGAGTTTGTATAAGGTTCTGGAAAACTGGTGAAGCAAAATGTTCTTACCCAATGCCAGCTCAGGAAGTGCCCCAAAGACCTTCTGAGAATTTGGAATAGACTGGGCCCCCATATGAAAAGATTAGAAATATTCCCGAGCAGGTAATAGAGAAAATATCCTTGCTCTCCAGACTTAAATGTGCCTTTTTTTCAAATCACTCATCTATACAAGAGAATTAAGGAGACTTAGGGCTTGAAAATAAGGGAATCTAAACCCCATAATTTTGGGGGAGGGGGGCTTGCAGTTTGGGACAAAGAACTATTATTTGGTTTATAGTTCAGGCTTTGGGAATTGAAAAGTGCAAGACATAAAGAATGCTCCCAGGAGTGGAGCCAAGATGGCAGAGAAAAGGCAGCGACCTGCCTGAGTTCTTCCCAAAACCCTTGAATAACTTTAAATAACAGTTCCTGGAGCAGTAGAATCCATAAAAGAACAGGGTGAAATAATTTCCAGCCAAAGACAACTTAGAAGGTCAGCAGGAAAGGTCTGTCACACCTGAGTGAGACTGGAACAGTTCAGTGCAGGCCACAGAAGCCCAGCCCCAGCCCCAGAAAATCAGGAGCAGGCCTTGGGAGTCAATGAATCAGCCAGCAGTGGGAGCAGCTGCTTCCAGGGTTCTCAGCTTACAGTCAGCTAGGGGGTTGAACACCGCATTAGAAGGAGACTACAGGGGTCTCTTTGCTAGCACTGAGGCAGGACTCTGCTGCTTTGCCCATACTTCGATCAGGGTCAGAGTCCTGGGTGTCAGTCCCAGGACGAGGAGGAGCACTAGCACAGCTTAGCTGGCGCCACGATGGAGCAGGGATCCTTCTCACAGTTCCAGGGCAGAAAAGAATGCTTGTGGTCGCTCACAGACCACAACACAGGTCAGAAGAGGAGTAAACACATCACTCCTTCGATCATACCACTTTGGAAGAACTGGAAAATGTATAGGTCCCTACAGTTTCTCTGAAAACAGCTGCACAAAACCCTTGAAGCTTGGGACAGTGTTCCCTCCACCATGGAAGCAGAGCCCTACTTTAATAAAGAGTTAAAAGTCAAGAAATAGGCTGGGAAAATGGACAAATAACAGAAAAAAAATTCTTACCATAGAAAGTTATTATAGTGACAAGGAAGAGCAAAAGACACACTCAAAGGAAGATAACAAAGTCAAAGCTCCTATATCCAAAACCTCCAAGAAAAATATGAATTGGTCTCAGGCCATTGAAGAATTCAAAAAGGATTATGAAAATCAAGTAAGAGAGGCAGAAGAAAAATTGGGAAGAGAAATGAGAATGATGCAAGAAAATCATGAAAAAAGAGTCAACAGCTTGATAAAGGAGATACACAAAAAAATAAATACTGAAAAAAATAACATCTTAAAAAACAGACTAGGCGAAATGGAAAAAGAGGAACAAAAAGCTAATGAGGAGAAGAATGCCTTAAAAAGCAGAATTGGCCAAATGGAAAAAAAGGCACAAAGATTTACTGAAGAAAAAACTCCTTAAAAAGTAAGAATTGGCTAAATGGAAAAGGAGGTACAAAAACTCACTGACAGAACAGGACAAGATGCGACAAGACAGCAGGATACTGTAGGTTGGGGGGCAGAAATTGGGGAAACTGTGCAGCACTCTACTAGGCCTGAGGGAAAGAATTCAGCATCCATCTGACACCATTCCTGTCCCCCTAAAAGTCACTTGGGGCAGAGACCTAAGCTGGTGAACTATTAATTACCCGGTGTGGGAGAAGGCTGAAGTGCTTTGACATTTAGCCACCAGGGAAACAACCATCAGAGAGAAGCAAATCAGAAAGTCAGAAAGTAAGGAAAAGGGTAAAGTAAGAGAGCTGGGGGGAGGGAACTAAAATTACCAAAGATCTCAGGAAGAAGAAAAAATCTCAAAGACCTTGAACATAAATAGATAAATCAACGGGGAAAATATTAACAGTAGATTATGGCCTCTAGATCTAGTAAAGTAGTTCAGGCATCTATGAATAAATATTGCAAAACAAAGGAAAACTATCTAATTGATTGAGAGGAGGGAAAGGAGGGAAACAGAGCACCCTGTGGAATTTGAGGAGAACATGCAACTGCAACATACTGTTCCTGAATGTTTTAAGAGAAAAATAAGAATCATGAAAGCAGAATTTATGATCTGAAAAGCAAAAATAATGTGCAGAATAGAGGAACCTGCAATAGAAAGTCTCACCAAAGAAACAAAAGAGAGAACAATAGACTGGGAATGCAAATATGCAGAAGTGAAGGACAATCTAGAAGAAAAGCAGAAAACAATAACATTGAAAGACAGTATGCTCATTATCCAAGTAAAACATTCTAATCTCAAAGACAGGGTGCATAGACAACTAAGGATTATAGATCTCCCAGAAGAAGACAAAAAACCCGGAATACAAAAAATGCAAAATAATAATAATTATAATAAAAGAGAACTATCCAGAACTTCTAAACACAGAATATGAATATCAATTGAAAGAATTCATAGACCACCAAAAGAAAAAAAATAAAATGAAATGAAACAAGGCTACAAAAAATGTAAAATGTCACAAATAGTTAATACATTCTTTATTGAACATAACACAGTAAAAACAGACATTAGTTCAAGGACTAAAAAAAAAAAAAGACACAAACTTAAATGGATACCTAACAGTGAAATCCTAAATAACAAATACGTTAAAGGACAAATCATAGACACAGTTAATTATTATGTGAGAGAAAAGAATAATTACAAAACAACCTACAAAAATTTCTGGGATTCAGGTAAAGCTGTCCTTGGGGGAAAAATCATATCCCTCTAAACATACATTAACAAAATAGAAAAGTAAAGGATAAATGAACTGAATATACATTTTAAAAATTAGAAGGTTAATAAATAAACCAAAAAGAAAAGCATAAAAGAGAATTTGTTTAAAAAGAGGAAAAATAAATGGAAAACAATAAAATCACAGAAATGATAAATAAAACTAAAAGCTAGTTCTTTGGAAAGACTAATAAAATCAGCAAACCTTTAGCTAATATGATTTAAAAGGAGAGAAAATCAAATCAAATATGGGAAGCAAACAAGACGAATTCACAACAAACCAGAACAAATGAAAATAATAATTAGAACACAATGTGTGCAGTTATATGCTAACAAAACTGAGAACACAAATGAAACAGAATACCTTCAAAAATATAAAATATCCAATCTATCAGAAAACCAGATACATTACCTGAAATAACCCAATCCAAAAAAAGGAAATTGACCTAGCTACAAAGAAATTACCATAGGAAAAAAATCTGATCTTGATGGATTCACAGGAGAATTCTATAAAATTCTAAAGAACAAATAGTATGCATACTTCACAAATTATTCAAAAATTTAAAAAGAGAGCACCCTCTCAGAATTCTTTTATCAAACAGATATAGTCCTAATATCTAAGCCAGGGAAAGATAAAATACAAGGGGAAAAACTACAGACCAATATGATTAATTAGTATTGACTCTTAAATTTTAAACAAAATCCTGTCAGACTACAGTGATTTATCCAAGACATTCATTATGACCAACTAGAATTTAAGCCAGGGATGCAAAGATGGTTCAACATTAGGAAAACAATCAACATAATAATATTAAAAGTCAAAATATCTAAAACCATATGATCATCTCAATAGATGCAGATAGGTCATGCAATAAACAAACTGGCAGAGAAGGGGGGATACTTTTCACAATTTGAGTTCTTTACCATACAAGAGACAGTAATGATCATAAAAGATAAAATGAACAATTTTAGTTGCATGAAGCTGAAAAGCTTTTCCACAAACAAAATAGATGCAGTCAGAATTAGAAAGAAAATAGTTAATAATAATATTAATAATAATGAAAAAATACTTGCATCAAATTCGTCTAATAAAAATCTGTTATCTAGAGTCTACTAATAAGAAGTGATCCAAATATGTAAGAACAAAAACTATTCCTTAATAGCTAACTGCTTAAAAAATATCAACAGGTATTTCTGAAAAGAAGATATACAACCCATCAAAAACTAGATTTTTTTAAAAATTATGCAAATCACTAATAAAAAGAGAAACACAAATTTCTCTGTAGTTCTGCCTAACACCCATGAGATTGACAAATTTTTTTTAAATAGTAATTATTGGAGGAGCTGTGGAAGGATTGTCACACTAATGTATTGGTGTAAGTATCATGCTTTTTTCCAACCATTCTGGAAAGAGTTTTGGAACTGTTTTAAACCAAAGAGATTAAAGACAGAGAGAAATTAGACCATGTGAACCAAGATATTTAAAATAACTTTTTGTCATAGCAAAGAACTAGAAACAGTTCATTATTAACTATTAATTGGGCAACATCTGAACAAATAGAGATATTTGAACATAATGAAGTATTATAGAGCAATATTAAATTATAGAAGGAACCAATTCAGAAAAATATAAGAATACATGTATGAATTTATGCAGAGTGAAGTTAGCAGAACATAGAGAATAATTTATATGACTATAATAATTTAAAGGAAAACAATTCTGAAAGACTTTAAAGCTCTGATAAAAGTGATGACCGATTATGACTTCAAAAGACTGACGCTAAAGCATATTTGCCACTTCTTGGCTTAGAAATGATAGACTAGAGGTACTGAATGATACCTACATTTTCCAGGCAAGATTAATGAGTGAATTTGTTTAGTTTGAATATTATTGTTATAAAGAAGAGCTTTTCGAAGGTGGAGGGATGTTATGGAGGTTAAAGTTTGTGATAGTGATATTGATACCCAAAAAGAGGGGGAAAAAAGATGAAAAGAAAGAAAAGCATCAATAAAACTATAGGAACAATAAATACAACAGACCATATTTAAAATCACATGATTATAACAATAGATACAGAAAAAGGTTACTTTCAGACACTCAGTCAAGTGCTTTATTAAGCACTTACTACGTTCAAGGCACTGTGCCAAGAAGGCAAAATACAGACCTTGCTCTCAAGAAACTCACAGTCCAATAGGAAATACAACATGAGAACAAGTATATACAAACAAGATATGGACAAGATAAATTAGTGAAAATAAGAGAAATAAGGCATTGGCATTAAAGGGGTTTGGAATAGGCTTCTTGTAGAAGGAGGGATTTTAGCTGGGTATTTAAGGAAGCCATTGTGTCAGGAGGGAGAGATGAGTCAAAAGAGAATTCCAGGTATGGGAAATGGCCAAAGAAAATGCCCAGAGTTGGGAAACGGAGTGTCTTATTTGAGGAACAGTCAGGAGGCCAATGTCACTTGACCACAGAGTTCATGGAAGTGTTGTTGTTGTTGTTGTTGTTGTTGTTTGTTTTTCATTCTCAAAGAGGACCGTGATATCATGGAGGTGATGCCATGACATGCAAGTGAACTGGATTTAAGTGAGGGAGGGCTGTAAGAGGTGAGTAAGGTGTTAAAAGACTTGAAAATATAAAGAAGTCAGGTTATGAAGTGTTTTGAATGCCTAATGGCATTATATTTGATTCTGGAGGTCATAGAGAGTCACTAGAATTTATTAAATAGGGAAACTTGCACTTTAAAAAGCTCAGTTTGACAGCTGAGTGAAGGATGGACTAGAGTGAGGAGAGAACTGGAACAGGGAGACCAGTCAGAAGGTCACTACAGTAGTCTAGGTATGAGGTGATGAAGGCCTATCCCAGGATGGAGGTAGAGATTGGTTTTGGGTGGGGGAGAAGGATGAGAAACAGTGACAAGTCAATAATTACACTTTGGTTGCAAGTCTGGCTAACTAGGAGAATGATGGTCTCAATAGAAATAAGGGAGTTTGGAATGGGGCCGGGGGGACTTGAGGGAAAACATAATGCATCTAGTTTTGGACATGTTTGGTTTAAGATGTCGTTGGAACTTCCAGTTCAAGATGTCCAATAAGTAGTTGCAGGTATTAGCTTGGAGATTAGAAAGAGGTTGAAGTTAGATAAGTAAATCTAAGAATCATCTGCATAGAGGTGGTAATTGAATCTATGGAAGCTGATGAGATCACTAAGCAAAACAGTACATTGGGAGAAGAGAAGAGGATCCAGGACAGAGCCTTAGGGAACACCCTCCATTAACGAGTATGACCAAAACAAAGTTCTAACAAAGGGAACTGAGAAGTTATGCTGAAAGAGAACCAAGATAAAGTGGTGTCACAAGAGTCTAGAAAGAAGAGAGTGTAAATGAGAAGAGAGTAAACAACAATGTCAAAGGCTGAAGAGAGGTCAGGAAGGATAAAGATTTTTAAAAGGCCATTAGAACTGGGAATTAAGAAATCATTAGTAATTTTGGTAAGACCAGTTTCAATTGAATGATGAGGTTAAAAGCCAAACTATAGAGAGTTAAGAAGAGAGTGATAGGAAAGGAAGTGTAGGCATTGATTAGAGACAGCCTTCTCAGGAAGTTTAGCCGCAAAAAGTAGGAGAGATAGTAGAGATTGAAGATAAGTGAGAGATTAAGGATAATTGAAAGGCAATATGCTAGAGAAGACAGGATGGAAAGGGATCAATTATTCATATAGAGGCATTTGTTTTGGCAAGAAGGACCACTCTTCATGCAAGATGGGGATGAAGGAGGAGATAGTGGGAGAAGGTATCTGAGTGATAAAAGATGAGGAGTAAGAGAGAAGATAAAGCTCTTATCTGAATGATTTCAATTTTTTCAGTGAAATATACGGCCAGATTCTCAACCACGAGGGTGGAGGAAGGGGAAGTCATTCAAGGTTTGAAGAAGAATGAAAAGTTTTGGAAAAGTCACTGTGGTGAATAGGATAGTGAGTCAATTTTTGTGGTTTGATTATTTTCAGTTGTATCTGACTCTTTGTGACTCTATTTGGGGTTTTCTTGACAAAGATAATAGAATGGTTCCCCATTTCCTTCTCCAGTTCATTTTACAGATGAGGAACCAAGGTAAACAGGGGTAAGTGACTTGCCCATGGTCACACAGCTAATAAGTGCCTGAGGCTGGATTTGAATTCAGGTCTTCCTGACTCCAGGCCTGGTGCTTTATCCACTTCGCCACCTACCCACTCCCACAAGTATAAACTCCACAGAAGTCAAAGACAAAGGGAAAGGGCCCAAATGAACAAAAATGTTAAAAACAGCACTTTTTGTTATGGCAAAGAACTACAATGTGAAGGCCTATCAATTGGGTTGTATGAGCAAATTATTGTATATGAATATTAAAAAATAGTATTGTGCCCTAAAAAAGGAACAGAATCAGAGAACCCTAGAAAGATTTAAATAAACTGATACAGAGTCTACAGAACCAGGAGAACAATTTATGCAATGACTAGAATCACGGAAGGAAAAAAAATTTTGAAATGTTTTCAGAACATTCTAGTGAACTAGTTCAAACTATAGCTGATCTGTTGAGCTTTCCAAAAGCACTGAACTAGAACAAACCTGGAATAACAATATTCTGTGAGCCAAATCTTAACAGGACCTATATTTCACTCCCTTGGAATGTTGCTGCCCATATGTTGCTACATAAAAGAATAGTAAAAAAAAAAAAAAGAGAAGAATTGTTCCTATTTTTTGTTCATTTGAATCTTTGTTTGCTTGGGGGTTGGAGGGAGGGGGTTGTTTTTTGGGTTTTTTTTTAAAGATTTCTCTGTTTGTTGTTAGCATTAGCTGAAAATTAGTTCCAGGAAATGACCTGGTAAATATTGACTGGGCTCACTCTGATTTCCAAATGCTGTTTTCTCAGTAAGTAGAAGAAAATGCAGACCTGAAGCCCTGGGTAGACTCCTTGGAATAGTCCTGTAAGTACAACTTTACCTTGGAAATCTTACATGAATATGTCTGGGTGATGTTATCTTGATTCCTCTTTCCCAGACAAGTTGAATTTGGAAGTCTCCTGAGGTAAGAATATAGTTTTTCCACATTCTGAAATGGGAAAATTTCTCACCATGGTCTATAGCTTTTAATACAGTATCTGAGAGGGTGGGAAGCAAAATTAACCCACTCCTTGCAGTTTAGGACTAAGGGCTGGAAAAGGGGGGGGGGGGAAGTGTGTTGTTCTGAAAAACAGTGTTGCATAAGGAATAGAAGGCTGGCCCCAATGCCACAAAAATCTGAGGTCAAGTCCTGCCTTAGCCACATAATGGTTGTGTGACCTTGGGCAAATCACTTAACCTCTCAGAGATCTAGAGGGCTCTCTAAGACTGTAAGTTGCAGAGAAAGTGCCAACTAGAATTAATAAGGAGACTTTCCCCATTTGGGAGTTCCCTATATCAGCGAAATCACAGATCCAGTTCTTATCACGCTCTTCTCAAGAAATTTGTCTTAAATATTTGGGCATGCCAAAGCATTCTTTAATGAATGGAGTTTTCCATTTTCTTTAGGTATTTTCCTAAGAAATTCCTTATCAATGAGCAGAAAATCAGATGAAATAAAACTTCAGCCCAAGAAAGATGAACCTTATGTTTACCACAGACTAGTTAGAAAAACCACTATTTTCTGAAGACATTTTGAGCCCTTTTCCAGCCTTTTTTTTCACTATTTTTCTTTTTTTTTCTGGACTGGTATTTTTGTCAACATTGACAGCTACTCAGCAAGGAAACTCTCTTTTCCCAATGCAGATCTGCAAACATTCTACAGCTTACTGTCTTAGATATTAAAAAGTTGAGCAACTCATTCAGGGTCACAAGACCAGTCTGTGCCAGAGGCATGACATAATCTCAAGTCATTCTGACTCTGAGATCAGCTTCTATCCACCACATTGTGCTGGCTCTCATTGCTCTTTATTATGATCTTTAAACCATGTGATCAAAAAACATGGACATCACAAGGTAGTGGCTTTAAGAATCTTCAAGCATGAGTCCAACTCCTTCGTTTTAGAAATAAAGAAATGGAGGACCAGACAAATGCAATGCCTTACCTAAAACCACACTGGTAGACAAGTAGCTGAGCCAGAAACAAAGAATCATAGATTCAGATTTTATAGGGACTTCAGATCCTATCCAATCCAACTCATATCTGACCAAGAATCCTCCTTCTGACCTTCCCAACAACTGGTAATCCAGTCTTCACTTGAAATCCCCAAAGGAGGACAACCAACTCCCTCCCAAGGCAGTGTATTCCAATTCATAACATCTATATCTCTTAGGAAAGTTCCCCTAACATTGAACCTAAATCTGCCCTCTCTGCAACTCCTCCCTATAACTCCTATTTCTGCCCTCTGGGACCAATAAACAAGTCTAATCTCCTGTCAATTTTGAAGTGCTTTGTAAACTTGAAGACAGCTATCACTTTTATCACTCCTCATTAATGCGTGCCAAAAATGAGTTTATTTTTGTTTGAACTGTCATTTTTAATTCAAACTAGCTAGTAGTCAAACATATAGAATCTATGTACACTTTCTTGGTAATATTTTCCTTGCAATCATATATTGCTTTTATTATTATTTGATATGTTTTACAAAAATATGAAAATAACTATGTACAAACAAGATATGTATAGGGTAAACTGAAGAAAATCTCAAAGAGAAGGCTTTGTGATTAAATAGGACTGGGAAAGGTAGAAGATGAGACTTTATTTGAGGCTTGAAGAAAGTCAGGAAAGCCAGGAGACAGAGCTGAGGAAGGAGACATTTCAAGGCATGAAGGACAGCCAGTAAAAATGCTTGGACTTGAGAGATGGAATGTGGTATGAGTACAGGGACACCGGAATGTAGAGTGTATGTGGAGGGAAGCAAAGTGATTGAAAAGGTAAGGAGGGGGCAGGTTATAAAGGACATTTAAAAGCCAAATGTAAAATTTTTTATGTAATCTTAGAGGAAATAAGGAGCCACTGGAGTTCAATAAATTGGAGGGGAGGGTGGGGAAGGTGGGTAGTGACATGGTCAGACTTGCACTTTAGGAAGATCAGTTTAACAGCTGAGTGGAGGACAGAGTAGAGTGGGGAGAGACTTGAGAAAGGAAAACCAACCAGAAGACTATTGCAATAGTAAAGGTGTGAAGTGATGAGGGCCTGTACTAGGGTGGTGGCATTATCAGAGGAGAAAAGAGGACATATATGAGAAATGCTGTAACAGTACAACCAACAATACTTGGCAATAGATTGGATATGGGGGGTAAAAGAGAGTAGGGGGTTGAGGATGGCATCTAGGTCAGAAGTGAGGTGACTGAAAGGAAGCAAGTCCCTTTGACAGTAATAGGAGAGTTTAGAAGAGGGGAGAGTTTGGGGGGAAAGATATTGAGTTTAGTTTTGTATGCAGGCATATCTCATTTTATTGGGCTTCACTTTATTGAGTTTTGCAGATATTACAGGGTTTTGGTTTTTTTTTTACAAATTGAAGATCTGTGGCAACCTTGCATCGAGCAAATCTATCTGCACTATGTTTGCAACAGCATGTGCTCACATCATGTCTCTATGTCACATTTTGGTAACTCATAATATTTCAAACTTTTTCATTATTATTATGTCTGTTATGGTAATCTGTGATTAGTGATCTTTGATGTTACTATTGTAATTGTTCAGGGTACCACAAACTGTGCCCATATAGGATGACAAACTTAATACATGTTGCATGTGTTCTGACTGCTTCACTGCTATTTCCATTTCTCCCTTTCCTTGGGTGTCTCTATTCTCTGAAATACAATAATACTAAAATTAGACCAATTAATAACCCTATAATAGCTTCTAAGTGTTCAAGTGAAAGGAAAAGTCAATCAATGTGGCAAACTTTATTGTTGTCTTATTTTAAGAAATTGCCAGTTACCCCAACTTTCAGCAAGCACCACCCTAATCAGTCAGCAGCCATCAACATTGAGGCAAGACCCTGCACCAGCAAAAAAAGATCATGACTCCCTAAAGACTCAGGTGATGATTAGCATTTTTTATCAATAAAGTATTTTTAAATTAAAGTACATACATCGTTCTTTTAAGATGTAATACTATTGCGTACTTAATAGGATATAATATAGTGTAAACATAACTTTTATATGCATTGGGAAACCAAAAACTTAGTGTGACTTACTTTATTGTAATGGCCTGGAATGAAGCCCGCAAAAAATCTGAGGTATGCCTATATGTTGAGTTTGAGGTATCTATAGAAAATCCAGTTTAAGATGTCCAATAAGCAGTTGGAAATGTGAGACTGAAGGTCAAGAGAAAAGTTAAGGCTAGATAAATGGATCTGAAAATCTTCTGCACAGAGATTGGATCATGATGATTGATGAAATCACCAAAAGACAGTATAGATGGAGAAAAAGGCCCAGGACAGACCTTAGCAGACACTCAAAGTTAGTGGGCATGGCCTGGACGAATATCCATCAAAGGAGACTGAGAAGGAGCAGTGTGCAGAGGAAGTTGTTTGTTACTTAATATAGGTTGGTCCTACAGGGTGATCTTAATGGAAACTGTGATTCTGGGCCTAGAGATTATGGAGGACTTTGAATGTCAGGCTAAACTCTACACAATAGGGAACCATTAAAGCTTTTTGAAAAGGCTATCTCAGGGCAGCGAGGTGGCACAGTGGACAGAGCACCAGCCCTGGATTCAGGAGGACCTGAGTTCAAATATGGTCTCAGACACATAACACACATCCAGCTGTGTGACCCTGGGCAAGTCACTTAACCCCAATTGCCCAACAAAACAAAAAAAAAAAAGAAAAGGGTATCTCTAACCAATAGTACCTGGATGGACACCTGTCTTCTTCACTTAATTTATTGACTATTGGTCATTTTTAAGAAATACTTCACAGTACATCAAATAGGCTGGAAAATTGATAAACTTTGCCATTGTTTATGCCTTTATTCTCAAGGCTGATGGTAATTTTGGACATATTTTGGTGACTTAAAACACACTTATTAAAATAGTTAAATATATCATTATGGTAAAAACAGAAGGATTATCACAAATAGTATCTTCTCATTAGTTTATTTAGTGGATATTAGAAGTTAGTGGATATTAGACATGATATGTATATTTATAGATTCTAACCCAATACTTGGGGACAGAGATAAACAAATGACAGGAATAAAAGTTTCACATGTCTGAATGAAACCTCTTGTATTACAATCTAAGAAGAAAACTCTGGAGGAAAGACTGATTAGCCAGAGCAGCTGGAAATGAAATTAAGTTTCAAACATGGCTGCAGAAACAACCACTGGGGCATCAAGGATGGGTACAGCACCAATAGGCTGGTTTTGCGACAGCTGCTAGGATGGTGGCTACATCACAATGGTTATGGGAAAGAGAGAGAGAAGCCTCTAAGCCTTTAATAGGCATTTCATGTTGTCAGTTCTGAGACTCGAGTCTGAGCAGCTCGGGTATAAGCTAACAGGCGAGCCTCCACTCTATAAAATAGGGAACTTGGTGGAAGGAAGGAGGAAAGTGGGGTCACAAAGAGTCAGACACAACTGAAATGACTGAACAGCAACAATAAAATCTCTACTTTCAAGGAGTTTGTATTCTAAGAGGAGAAGACAACACATAAAGGAAAGCTGAAAAGCACTAGTATGGGCTGGGGGAAGAAAGAGTATGCATTTATAGATGAGGAAACTGAAGCTGAACAAAGAGGTGACATGATTTGCCAAAGGTTACATGGACCCTGAAAGGTGCCGTGTCTTCATGCTCTCTCCTAATAGGAGAGATAACATGTATTTACACGGTTGCAATAGAAAGCAACATATGACAAGTAAGTACTATTTGAGCAGTATGAACAAAAGCTGTAAGAGTTCAGTTAGCTTTGGCTATAGTGAGAGAGCATTTCTGGATAGCGTGATCATAGAGGGCTTTGTGAGGCAAGTAGGACTAGAGATGGGCTTTGAAGGATAGGAAGGCTTTCTTTAGATAGAAGGAGGGAAGGCAGGAGAGCATTTCAGATAGGAAAAACAGTATGAGCAAAGCCTCAAGAATGGGGAAACATGCAAGGTATGTTGAGGGGAATGAATATATGAGTTTGGCAAGATCAAACTAAGATCACACTAAGGAAAATACAGAAAGTAAGGATGGAAAGTTGGGTGAGGCCTGACTGTGGAGGGCCTTATATATTAGAAGTTTGGATTTCATTGTATAGGCAAAGGGGAGTCACTGAAAGTTTTAGAAGGCGGTATTATTGACTTGAACACTCGCCATTGTTTTCAGAGCTACAACCCTTGGATATGGAGCCTACTTGTATGTGGATGCTGGTGGCTGGGATTCTGGCTGTTGTCCACTGTCAGCCTCTTCCTGACTGTAAGGGAAATAATAAGACAGAGATCTACTTACAGGATGAAACTCACTCAGAAACATCCCTACTATGCCATAAAATCTCCACTGGCAATACCATTTTTGCCCTACGCTTATACAAGGAACTAACTTCGGCAGCCCCCAGGGACAACATTTTCTTCTCCCCCGTGAGCATCTCCATGGCTCTGGCCATGTTGTCCCTTGGGACACAAGCTACAGTTCAAACTCAGATCCTAGAGGCATTGGGCTTCAACCTCACAGAGACACCTGAGTCTGAGATCTACAAGAGTTTCCAGCATCTCATCCATAAGCTAAACCTGAGTAGCAAAAAACATGAACTGAAGATAGGAAGTTTCATGACCCTGGATAAGCAGTTAAAACCACTTCATGAATGGCATAGCATCAAGGAGTTGTATGAAGCCAAAACACTTTCCATCAACTTCACTAATTTTTTCTCGACTAGGAGACAGATTAACAAATACATAGAGAACCAAACCTATGGGAAAATTAGAGAATTTCTTCAAGATTTCAATCAGGACACTGTAATGGTGCTTGTGAATTCTATATTTTTTAAAGGTGTGTATTTTTATTTAAATAGATCCCTGATCCATAGAGTCACAGGATCTCAGCTTTGGAAAGATCTAAGAGAACATCCAGTGAAACCTCTGCTTGATGGGTGAATCTGTTTCTATCTCCTTCCAGGTGATGCCCATCTTGGTCTTGTTTCCCATGAACCCCATTGCCATCAGAGGAGAGAGGGGAAATAGCTTATATAAGTAGGCAGCTGTGATAATGGAATGGAAAGAGTGCTAGATTTGGAGTTGGAAAAACTGGGTTTGAATCCTATTTCCAACACTTCCTCATGTGTTAGTTATTCATGTTCTCTAAAGGAAGCAAAGATGTTCCTTTGGGCCAAAATGAACCCAATTACTTGATGGGAACTTGGAGCCACATCTAAGGTTTTGAGACCTTTATTCATTGACTTAAAGACAATGTCTCTTTCAAAACTTGCAAATGTCTTGGGCTCACTTCAGTTCACATAGAATAATAAAGTTCCAGAGTTGTTTAGGACCTCAGAGATTCATCTCAACAAGATCAACCACAACTGAACAAATATGAAGAAGAGACCTTTCCCCCTCACCTTTTGTGGTGACCTTTTGCTGTAGTTCCAGCATTGCTTGAGTGGGATTTATGCAAATAGGCAGAAATCTTAGTCATTTCCCCTATTTAAAAAACCACAGTTATGGAATGTTTTAAATAGTATGGTTTAAAGCTAGAAGAGACTTTAGAAATCATCAAGTACAAGCTTCTCATTGTACAGATGGGGAAGCTGGGACGTGGAGCATGGCATGGTGGAAAGGACCTTGGATTTTGAGCCAGAGAGGCCTGGGTTCAAATTCATTCTTTGCTAATTACTAGCTGAGTGACTATGGCCAAGTCATTTAACTTCTCTGGACTATAATTTCCTTATCAATAAAATGAGGATATTGGATGAGTTTATCACTAAAGTTTCTAAAGTTAATCATCATTATGATGTTTTTCTAATTAGCTCCTGAAATTAAGATGGCCAACAATTTATGAAAGGGAGTAAATTCATTTCCTGAGAATACTGGGAAGATAGAAAGGGGACAAGTTGCAAAGGGTTTTGAAAGCCAAATAAGATTTTATGTTTGATACTAGAGGTAATAGGAAACCACTGAACTTTACTTAGGAGAGGAGTCCCTTTCTGGTCAGGTGGGAACTTTTGGAAAATCACTTTGGTAGCTGAGTGGAGGCTGGATTGGAGTAGGGAGAGACTTGAGGTAAGGCAACCAACCAGAAGCTTTTGCAATAGACCAGGTGTGAGGTGATGAGGACCTATAGAAGTGTGGCCACTGTGTGAATTGTGATAAAGGGACATATGGAGAGATGTTGTGAAGATAGGGGGTTGAAGAGAAGCCATTCCACCCAACAAAGGTCTCCTGACCTGCCCTCTTCCCTCTTGCAGGGGTCAGAGGGACTCCATTCCATTGGGTACCAGTCTCTTCCCACTTGCAAGGGAACCCAGTTTCTTTTTAATCATCCCTTCCTGCAAACACAGGACAAAGAGACACCATTCTTTCCTGATTCCTCCAGCTATCTCCAGGCTTGGCCTGCCTGCAAGTATAGGAGACAAACACTATTCCATCAGCTCTCACCACTGGTCTCACCTGAGCTGCCTAACATCTTGAGAGGACACCGTCCTGAGGCCAAACCCCTAGTGATGCTGATAATCCTCCTGAACGTATTTCTCAATGATTAACAGATTTCCACCTTGTCATGCATTGCCCGCTCCAGTGATCCTAATCCTTCAGCTGTCATTATACAAACTCCATTCTCCATCTTCCACTGCTTGCCCTCTTATTTCTATCTTCCTCATCCCAAACCCCACAATGTCCCCCTATAAATCTACCCACTCCTTCCACTGTGCTCTCTGAAATACACACCCAGTAGCTAATATACTTGTTTCAATCTTAAATCTTTTCCTTTCCCAATCCCTTAATCTTCTGGCTGTCCCTGAGACCTAACTTCCTCTTGATGACACAGCTTCCCCGGCCACCCTTTCCAACACTGGTTGCATTTTCACTCATTTCCTTATCTCATTGGTCAAGCATGGTAAGGTCACCTTACTCACCCCTAGGCACTCCTTGCTCACCATTGCAATTTCCAGGCTCTCTACCTCCTTTACTCAGTAATCTCTCCTCTTTTGAAGTTGACTCAATCCATGTCTTCCATTCAATCAAAATTCTAGTAGCTGTTGTCTACCAACCTCCAAAACACATTGCTTCTTTCCTAAGTGAGTTCAGTATCTAACTCACAGTCTTTCTCTCCTTCTGAAATCCTGCCCTCATGCTAGGGGATTTCAATATAATTACATATTGATACTCCTTCAAGTGTCATAACCTCCCAGTTCCTCAACTTGCTCATTTCTCATGACATACTCTTATATGCCATCACAACTACACACGAAGATGGTCAGAGCTTTGATCTTGCCATCACTCATAAATATTCCACCTCCATGTTGATAAACTCTGAAATTCCTTTATATGATCACAATCTTTTGTCACTCCACTTCTCTCTGTGCCTTACGACCACAAACCATGTGCTTCATCTTCACTGTGACCTCCAATCCTTCAATCCCTCAGTTCTTTCCCAGGCCATCACTCCTGCATTGGCTACACTCTCTTCCTTTCCCAATTGTCCCCTTAGTAAAGCAGTTCAATTCTCCATTGCCTTCTCTTGAATTTCTTGCCCCCTTAACCCATCACCAATCTTGCCCTGCCAACTCTCAGCTCTGGATCACCCCTACCATCAGCTGCCTTCATTCCTCTTCCAGCTTCTGATCTTATAATTCAACCCACACTTCTCTCCCCAAAGGTACCAGTGATCTCTTAATTACCCAATCTAATGGTCTTTTCCCAATCTTCGTTTTCTTGACTTCTATTCAGCTTTTGGCACTGTCACCCTCCTCCTTGATTTTTATCCTCTCTGATTTTTCATGATACTACTCTCCTGGTATTCCTCCATCTTATCTGACCATTCATTCTCAGTCTCCTTTGCTGAATCTTTGTCCAAGTCATACCTGTTAACCATGAGTGCCCTTCAGTGGTCACTTGGTAATCTCTTCAGCTCCCACAGATCCAGTTATTATCTCTCTAATGATGATTCTCAATCTACTTATCCACCCCTAACCTCTCTGCTGACCTCCAAACTCACAACTCCAACTGCCTTATAGACATCTCACATTGGATGTCCCATATCTTAAACTCAACATGTCCAAAACTGAACTCAATATCTTTTCCCCAGAACCCTCCCTTCTTCTGAACTTCCCTATCACTGTCAAGGTTACTGCCATCCTCCCAGTCACTGAGGCTCACAACCTAGATATCATCCTTGACTCCTTGCTATCTCTCACCCCTCCCCATATCTACTCTGTTGCCAAGCCCTGACAATTATACCTTTATAACATCTCTTATATATGACCCCTCCTCTTTTCTGACACTTCCACCAGCCTGATGCAGACCCGCATCACCTTACAAATGGAATATTGCTGTAGCTCTCTAATTGGTCCAGTTCATCCTCCACTCAGCTGTCAAAGTGATCTTTCAAAAGCCCAGGTCTGACCATGCCTTTCTCCTGCTCAGTAGGTGACTCCATAACACTCCCAAGATCAAATAAAAAATCCTCTGTTTGGTATTCAAAGTCCTTCATAAATTGTCCCCCTCCCACGTCTCTAGTTTTCTTACACTTACCCCCAGGTACTTTTTGATTCAGTGACACTAACCTCCTTGCTGTTCTACAAACAAGCTGTTCTAACTCTGGGCATTTTCTCTGCCCATCCCCCTTGCATCTTGTACTTTTTCCTATTCTCCTCCTGGCCCCCTCTTTACAAAGACAAAGGTTGAGGGGGAAAAAGAAATGTGTTCAATAATGGCAATCTCTATTCATCCCTTTATAATTAATCCCTCTAAAGTTGCTTGTGACTGTTCCCTTCCCAAGTCTATTCTCTCTCTTTCACTCTCCTCCCCTTTCCATTTCCCTGCCAGTTTCCCCATTAACAGTAATAGGTTTCTATACCAAACTCTGTGTGTGTACGCATCTGTGCGTGTGTGTGTGTATGTTCATTCCTCCTCTATCTGGTCCAGATAAAAGTGAAAGTCATGTAATGGTCACTCCTTCTATGCCTTCTTTCATATTTACATATTCTTTCTCTTTCATCTCATTTACTCATTTAGAGTAAGTACCCTTTATTCCTCCTTTCTTGCCCTAGAATGTTTCTTTTTTTCTCCTTTTTTTCTCTCTTATAACCAACAATATAAAGTAAACCTACATCATGTTCATCTTATTTCTCTCTGTGACCCATAAAGACATTAGAATTATCAAGGTACACTTCCTTTCTCCCATATTAGAATATAAGCACTTTATCATCATTTAGTCCACTCCAATTGCTCAAATATATTTACCTTTCTAGACTTCTCTTGCATTCCCAGCTGTAGTATTTTCATCAGTAATGCTTAAAAATCCTTTGTGCTATGAAAAATCCATTTTCCCCTGTAAAATTATACTTAGTTTTTCACAGTAAGTTATTCTTGGTCGTAAGTTTTTGTCTTTTGAAAAATCATGTTGTAGGATCTATTCTCTTCCACTTTAGTAGCTGACAGATCTTGTGCAATACCAACTATGTATAGTTCCTTGTTACTTAGATTAATTCTTTCTAGCTTCCTCTAGTACTTTTTCTTTGATGTGGAAATCGCATATTTGGGATATAACATTACTGAAAGTTTGCATTTGATAGTTTCTATTGAATTATTTCTATTTTGACTTTTGCCTTTTGGTTTTAATAGATCTGGGCAGTATCTTTTTATGATTTCTTGAAATATAGTGCCCATTTTTTTTGTTTAGCCATTGTATTCAGGAACTCTGATGATTCCTAAATTATCTATCCTCAATGTTTTTCAAATCAGTTTTTTCACTAATATGTACTTTTTTTTCAATCTTTTGATTTTGTTCTAAAGTGTCTTAATGTCTCATGGAGTCATTGAGTTCTGTTCTATTCAGTTTTTAAGGGGTCCACTCTTTGGCCAATATTACACTTTCAGTTTCATTCTTCTTCTAGTTTTCTTTTTTCTCTAGAGCTCTAATTTCATGGATAGTTTCTTTTTAGTTTCTTATTTTATTTCTTCCAGCCATTCTTGTAGTCTTCATGGCCAAACTTTTTTTTTATAGTTGTTATGAAGTTATTCTCTTCTTCTGAATTTACCTTTTGGGCCTATTTTACCCCATAATCATTATCTTTGGTATCTTCTTTTTATGAGTAAACTTTATTTATATTTTCAAGTTCAGTTGCGTTGGGATTTTATATCCTGTACCTATTCACCTAACATGGAGGTCTCTGGATCCCCTACCACAGACATGGGTGTAGCCTCCTTTGATTGGTTGTCTGTATCTTTAAAACTGGCAAGACTAAGTCAGTCCCTCTCTTCTGACTGCTCTTTTTTTAGCCACTCTCATCTGCTATGTCTAGAGAGTGAAGATCCCAGTTCACCCACACAGTAAGTGCAATGAACTGAACTGAAAGGAAGACTTCCTTCCCCTTCTTCCTCTTTTACTCCAGCTCCAAGAAATGGGCCTGGGAATGTTTATTGCTGCTCTGTATTGTTTGTCCTACTTAGTTTCAGGTGCTGGAGGTGATCCGCAAGGGACCCAGGACTTTGAGCTATGGTGACCTTGAAGCCTGTCGTCTCAGGGTCCCTAGGACTAAAGCCTGAGGGAGCATTTTGGATTCAAAACTGGGAATGGGCTCTTTAGGATCTGAGCTACATTATGAATGTAATCCCTTCCCCTCCCCAGAGACTGAGGTGGTGCAAATAGGGTCAGGAGGATTAGATTTCTGATGTGTTAGGAAAACAAGTATTTTTTTTGTTATTATACCTTTTGAAGTAAATATTTCTATGTAAAAGCTAATTTATCAGTGGCTAAATGGAACTGGGTCACAAGGGACCTACACCCCTACACTTGGGGGAATACCATTAGTGGGGAATGAAGCAATTTTCAGAGAGCCTAGACACTCTTTGATACTTTAAGAATACCAGAAAACCCCACAGGAGGAGTAAAAATCTAACCTGCCTGACCCTCCAAGCAATGGGGACCACCATACCAGTGTTTTGTGTGGGGGCCCAAGTTTAGTCCTAGTTCCAAGTCCAAACCCCCACCTCAGGTTCCAGTCCCAAGCACCCTGGCTGCTCAGGGCTTCCATTCTGGGCTGGCTGGCTGCACCATTCTGCCTGCAATCCTGGTTGCAAGGTCACCATGGCTCAAAATCCCAACTCCTACAAGGATCACCTCTAGCACCTGAAGCTAAGGAGGACAAACAACATAGAACAGAAATAGGCACACTCCAGGCCGGTTTCTTAGATCCAAGATAAAACAAGGAGCAAGGGAAGAAAGTCCTTCCCTTCCTACCTATTCAGTTCATGACACCCACTTTGTGGTTGAACTGGAATCTTCACCCTTTGGATACAACAAATAAGAGTGGCCAAAAAGAGAGTAGTTGAAAGAGTTACCAATTCAGTCTCACTAGTTTTAAAGACACAAGACATCAATTAAAGGAGGTTACCCATACACCACTGGTAGGGGACCCAGAAGTCTCTATGTTAGGCAATCTAGATATGCTCCAAAAGCCCCCCAGACAAGCCCAGGTTACAGTTGTTACATAGCGTTCTCATGTTCTTACTGTTTTGTTATCTTTTGATTGTGTTTAATTAATTTTCCTTCTGCATCTACCATTTTGTTCTCCCATTCTGTCTTTCTTTGTTTCAGAGAATTTGCTTTTATGGATAGCGTCTGTCTTTTATTCTAAATTCTCTGCCCTCTTGTTAGACTTACTGATTTCTTCCTTAAGAGCCTCTTTTATAATTTTACTTAATTCTTTGCTCCAGGTATTCTTTAGGTTTCTTGAGTTGTTCCTGTGTCATTTCCAGGTGCTTTGTACAACTCTGTAATATCTTCACCTTCCTCAAATGATATTAACTCAATTTCCTTTGTTGTGAAATATTTGAGAAGTCTTTTAGAAAGGTTTGTTCATTTCTTTCTCATATAACAATTATCTGTTTGATTTCTTGATGCTGAAAGTTCTAAAATTTTTTGGTCTCAGAACCCCTTTATACTCTTAAAAATTACTGAGAACTCCCCTAAAGATCTTTTGTTTACATGGGTTATCTTTATCAATATTTATTGTATTAGAAATTTAAATATCTCAGTATTATTATGAAAACAGTTTTGACATCTAGGACCCCTTGAAAGTGTCTTGGGGATCTCTAGGGGACCCCAGATCACATTCTGAGAAAGACTACCTTATGCTCTCCTAAATGTAAATGTTCTTCTTGCCTTCAATCCTTTTATTTCTATAGCTCCATCACTATTCTCTCCCCAGGCTCATGCTGTCTGACTGCTATAAGGAGACTGAGATGTCACTGTAGTTGAACTTACTCTCTGCCTTTCTCTGTCCAACTTGTGTCTAGCCTACCTTTGCAGGTTGGTGGATAAAAAGTTGGTAATGGTCCCTAGGACTCTGCTAGGAGAAAACTGAAAAGCCTTTGCAAACATGTCTTCTCCCTACCTTTTATTCCTCCTGCTGACTGCCTGCTTCCTTCTATGTAACACTGTCCTACACTTCCAAGCTCTTCTCTCCTTCATAATCTCTGACCCCTCCTACCAGGATCTACATTCCGCTAGAGAAGGTTCTTTACTTTCCTCTCAATCATTAGGGCTGGTGTGAATAATGCGCCTTATTATCCAAGGATCACAATCCCCTGGGATACTTTAAAGTGGTTAGCTGCAAATGTCTCCCTAAAATTGAGATCTTAAAGATGATTTTGGGCTGTCCTGGGCCAGTGCCACCATGAGTCATGGAAAGTGCCAGGGGCAATGGTGATTTTTTTTTCTGTAAGAATTACCTTGCAATGGGTTCTTTCAATTTTCTCTCATTCTCACTGTCAAATTTGCTCCCTTTGAGGTTGCTCCATTATGGCTTACTTGAGAGGAGAGGGAGGGAACTTTACCTTAGGTAAAAGGTAAAGTTGTCACTTTCCCATCTTCCCAGGATCCTCTGATACTTCAACTGAAAGAAATTCACTTACAACTTTTTAGAATCACATCCTATTGCCTTAAAGTATAATACATCCATATGGTACTTTCTATCCCCTTCAAGTAAAAGATAAATTGTCTTCTGTATCATGAGAGGTTAAACTAAAGAAAGTAGCATATGAAGAAGTACATAATGTCTAACAGACATAGAAATTAAGCAATATTCTACTTTCATAGAATTTGGTGATGGAAGAAACCTTAGAGATATTCTAATCCCAATCTCCTCAGTTTACAGATGAGGAAACTAAGGTTGACCAAGAAGGTAATTGATCCCAGGTTGGAAAGTAAATAGAAAGAGCCAAGATTCAAATTCAGGTCCTTCCCCAGATCCAGTGCTCTTCCCAATATGCTACCAGGATTCCCAATTTAAAACATCACAACGGGGAGCTGTAGAAACTACCTAACAGATCCAGATCACAGAAATAGATAGAGAGGGAAAGGAATAAGCATTTATTAATTGCCTACTATATTCCAGGCACTGTGTTAAGTGCTTTTCAAATACTATTTCATTTGATCCTCACAACAACCCTGGGAAGTAGGTATGCTATTATTATCTCCATTTTACAGTTGAGGAAAATGAGGCACACAGATCATAAATGACTTGTCACACAGCTAGTAAACTATAAATAAGGTGCATAAAAAGGAGAAATGATTTTCAAGCTTGAGACACCATCCAAGATGTCCACGGGAGCAGCCTAGACATAGAGCATTTTTGCTGTCCTTTTCTGTCTGAAAGCTAAATTGTTCCCCCAAAATCATAGATTTGGAATTGGAAGAGACTTGATGGTTCATCTATTTGACATCTCATTTTATAGTGAAGGACACTGAAATTCAATAAGGTTAGAAGACATGATCAAGGTCTCAAAGGTAGTCAATGGTGGAGCCAAGGTTTGAACCCAGCTACTCTGACCTTGCCCCTTCTAACAATAGAGAAGACAAAAGGAAAACAGTGATGAATACATGAATGCCAGGTAAAGAACTGTCTTTGAATGTGGCAGCTTGAGTTTTACTTACTTACAGTTTCCTTATTTCTGTGTCACAAGCCAAATGGATGCACCCTTTCAAACACTATTGGATTAAGAAGCCTCAGAGTTCTTCTGTAGGTGAGAAGATCATTAGGCCCTCTATGATGCACCAGAAGGCACAGCACCGGTTTTTGTATGATAAGGAGTTGGCCTGCATTGTACTCCAAATGGAATACATTGAAGACGTCCTCATCCTTCTCATTCTGCCGGATGAAGGGAAAACGAGACAAGTGGAAGATTCTCTGAAGCCAGAGACCCTGAAGAAATGGAACAAATTACTATTGCCCAGGTAAATGGGGTATCTGGATTTGGAAGGGCCTATTGAGGTATCTTTTTTTCATTAATTTATCTATTTTTAGTTTTCAACATTCATTTCCACAAGATTTTGAGTTTTTGAATTCCAAATTTTCCCCCCATCTTGTCCCTCCCCCCACACCAAGATGGCATGTATTCTGAATACTCCTTCCCCTAATCTGCCCTCCCTTCTATCTCTCCCCCCGCTTCTCTTATCCTCTTCCCCTTCAATTTTCCTGTAGGGCAGGATAGATTTCTATGCCCATTTCCTGCATATCTTATTTCCCAGTTGCATGTGAAAACAATTTTTTTAACATTTGTGTTTAAAACTTTGGGTTCCAAATTTTCTCCCTTCCTCCCTCCCCACCCACCCTCATTGAGAAGGCAAGCACCTCAATATAGATTATACATGTGTCATCATGCAAAACACTTCCATAGTAGTCATGTTGTGAAAAACTAAGTATATTTCCCTTAATCCTATCCTGCCCCCCATTTATTCTATTCTCTCTTTTGACCCTGTCCCTCCTTAGAAGTGTTTGCTTCTGATTACTCCCTCTCCCACCTATTGAGGTATATTAGCTGGTAGCTAAGGATACAGGGCATATGGGAAAGTTTGTTTCCCTACTGATTGTAACTTTCCCCAGTTACACAGTCTATTGAAAGAGGAAATAGCAGTTCTGTTTTGTTCTTGTTCACTTATATCTGACTCTTTGTAACCCTGTGGATCATAGTCTCCATGGTGTTTTCTTGGCAAAGATATTGGGGTGGTTTGCCATTTCCTCCTCTAGTGGACTAAGGCAAACAGGTTAAGTGATTTGTCCAGGGTCACACAGCTAGTAAGTGTCTGAGGCTGCACTTGGACTCAGGTCTTCCTGCTCCAGGCCCAGTACTCTATCCACTGTGTCATCTAGCTGCAGCTCTGTTAGCCAGTCATTTAAGCAAAGGAAAACTATCTCTGGTAAATCACTTTCACAGGCAGATATCCAACCACCACTGAAGTTCTCTTTGTTTAATTACACTTTCTGAAATTATGAATTAAAAGACTGACACTAAGCAAAGCACAACTTTCCAAATAAAAGTACAAATAAAATAAGATTGTCTCACCTGCTCCCTCCTTTCTCTCTGCCTGGGAATTTCAGCCTTCCCTTTCAATCTTATGCAAAAACTGGTCAAGTCAACATCTTCTCTGATACTTATCTCCTCTCCTCTCAATTTAGCATCTACAATTCACAGAACCACAGAATTTTAGAGAGGGGAATGACCTCAGAGATCTGGTATTTACAGAGCTCTTGGGGGTTTACAAAGTGGTTTATGATCCCTCCAAGAGCTCTGTGAAGTATTGCTGTTATTCTCCCCATTTTATAGAGGAAAAAACTGAATCTTGGAGAGTTTCAGTGACTTGGCCATGTCTGGAATAGGATTTGAACACGTCTTCTGACGCCAAGTCCAACATTCAAACCACTATACCACCTCCCTGTCTCAGTAAAGAAATTTTAGAAATCATTCTTTGGCCCTGGACAAATGTGTGAAGTTGGACCCTTGAGTTCCCCAGACAGAGGTGAAATTAGCTCAGAAAGGCAAGATAGGCAGCTGCCTAGGGTAGAACATGGTGGGGCACAGGAGCATCAGAAGGGAGCATCATGATTAAATATGCCTTTTAAAAAAATATATGGATGTTGCTGCTGCCAGAAAAAATCTCATTGTATGGTACTTAGAGTATTTTATGGTACCTTAGGTATTTTATTTTCAGGTGTTACATCACAACTATTCTAGTGAAGACTTGGATCCCCTAGTGGACAATGACACGTAAAAAGAGTCATTTTCAAACCTTTTCTATAGATCTCAAAGCCTTAACTGGGGCCCATTCTCAGCCTTTTTCTGGCCTATTTTTCCTAAGTAGGGGCCCTTCTCCACAGCACAGGTGTCGGGTTCACATACATACTATGACAAGGCAGTGAAGTAAGGTTTTGTGGAGGAAAGGGATAAAGAAGAAATCCCTGTTAATTTCACCTGAGTGTCTGTTCTGGGCAGCTAGGTGGCACAGGGGATAGAGGTCTGGGTCTAGGATCAGGAAGACCTGAGTTCAAATTTGACCTCAGACACTTATTAGCTGTGTGACCCTGGGCAAGTCATTTAACCTCTGATTGCCTCAGTTTCCTCAACTGTAAAACTAGGATAATAATACCACCTAATTTACAGAGTTGTTCTAAGGATCAAATGATTTGTGAAAAAGTGCTCTTGGCACAGTGCCTGACATGTAGTAAAATTGTATAAATTGTATTGTAGAAATCATATAAATGCTCACTACCTTCCTTTCCCTTCCCTTCCCCTATTCTAAAAGGCTCAGTTATAGGATTCTGAGGGAGGCTTATGTTATTTCAAGAAGGGATATGTAGGTTGTAGAAGGTTCCTGGCTAGTTACTCCCTTTTGGCTGGACCCCACCCTCAATTGGATGGCACCCCTCTTTCCCAACGCTTCACTAAAAGTGTCACTTTCAAAAATCATCTCCCTTAGCTCAAGAGAGGAAGGGGGAAGGGTGGGAGGAAATGGAGAAGAAAGGGAAGAACAGGACTGGAACAATATGACTAATCAAACAGGACTTGTTTCTTTGTCTTTCTCCTTTTTATTTATGAAGTCTACTAAATTTACATCTGCCAAAGTTTTCAATTTCTGGGGCATACAGCCTGGAAAAAATACTTCCCAAAATGGGTTTTTCCAGCATATTCACTCCAGAAGTCAATCTATCCAACATCACTGAACAACCACACATGGCAATCTCAAAGGTAAGGTAGTAAATGTGAGTAGTCTCTTCTTTCCTTTAATCTTTGAAATGAAAGACTGGCTCTCCTCTATCATATTCTCCTAATTGGACTCTGTGCCCTCATACTATAGCCATGGTGGTTCCCATTGTTCTTCTCAACAACACTAAATAAAATACTATCTACAAGTTCCGTCACTTTTGTTTCTTGAATTCTCTCCTCTTGCGGAATCCCAAAACCACTTACTTTTGTTGTAATATCCTGGAGGAGACCAACAGGAATTTCTAATCTTCACTTTGGATTTGGTGTTTAGATAACAAAACTTTGTTCCAAAATTTACTTTCTGCCCATATGGCCTTAGGAAAGTCACTTCTGTTCTCTGGACCTCAGTTTCCCCAACTGTAAAATAAAAGGATAAGATCTTTAAGGTCTCTTTCAGCTCTGAGGTCTATGACCTATGCCATTAATTCAGCTATTCTCTAGTCATTCATAGAATCATAACCCTTTCAGAAGGGAAGTAATCTTAGAAAGCAAGATAATACAACACCTTCATTTTACAGATGAGGAAACTGAGGTTAAGAACATTTGCCCAGTTCACATTGCTATTAAATGTCAGAACTGAGATTTGGCCCCATAACTTCAAACTCCAAGTCTAGTCCTCTTTTCATCAGGCCATGCTGCCTCATTTATTTGTGCTTTATTCCTTCTAGAAAGGTTGAGTAGTCTATAGCAATTAAAATTTTAAATGTAATTCAAGAATTCAGTTCAACCAACATTTGTTGATCATCTTTTATTTTATTTTTTAAACTCATTTTGTTTTATTTTCAATTCTAAATTCTCCCTCTCTCCCTTCCCCCTCCCTCACTCATTGAGAAGATAAGAAACATAAAACCCATTACAAACATGTATAGACACATTGAACATCCATGAAATCACAGTGGTCTTTTCTAGGGCCAAGGGAAGAGACAGTTTCCAATTTACCCTCTAAAAACTATGTTGAGAAATTATCTTGTCAGAGAAGTTGGATTTTAGTTCTAATCAAGTTAATTTTTTTTAGTGAAAGAGACCTTTGAGGTCATCCAGTCCAACTCCCTAATTATAGAGATGAAGAAATTAGTTTACACATAGAAGTGAGGTGACTTGCCCAAGGTAACCCAGCTAGTGTCAGAGGTAAGGTTCAAACCTAAAGCCCAGACCAGGGGTGGAGAACCTGTGGCCTGGAGACCACATGTGGCCCTCTAGGTCCTCAAATGTGGCCCTTTGCCTGAATCCAAACTTCACAGAACAAATCCCCTTAATAAAAGGAGTGGTTCTATAAAACTTGGACTCAGTCAAAAGACTGCACCCAAGGACCTACGCCACATGTGGCCTTGAGGCCATAGGTTCCCACCCTTGGCCCAGACCATTTTCCGCTCCATCCTGACTGATCCAGGGCTATTAACTCTAAACTATGCTATCTCAAGAATCTGTCTTTGAACATTGAGCTTTAGATACAGAATTCTTGGGGAATATTCCTCGACATAACTAAAGAATTGTAGACCTGGGAAGAATCTCAAAGTTGTCTAACACAAACACCATCCAAAAACATGAACCCTGATTACAATATCCTCAAACCAATGATTTCTGAGGGCTCTGCTCAGAAACCTCCTAGGTCAAGGAAGACTGAATAAATGGGCAGAGCTCCAGTATTAATTTATATCTAGGATTGGTTACGTGCAAGAGGTCAATGACAGCTTAGCTACTTAATGACAAGTGACCCTGTCCCATAGAACAAAGCAGGTGTAACAGTACAGTAGAGGATAGAAAGGCAGACACTAGAGATAATTCTCAGTTGGACCTGGTCTGAAAACTGGTTCTCTTCCTTTATGAATTATAGGACGTAAAGCTGAGAAGGAACTTTGATTATTATCTTCTCACTTTAAAAATAAGGAGACCAAGGCTCATTGGTTAAATGACTTACCCAAGGACACACTTCCCAAGTAGTATGCAGCAGAATTAGGGTTCGTAACCAGGTCCTCTAACTCTAAATATAATCTTCTTTCTCCTATAACATCCTGCTTCGAGGACTTGGAAAAACAAAATCAGACTTCCCTGCTATATTTCCAAAAATAAAAAATAGCCAGGCTGCTCCTAGAATAATAAAAAAAAAAAGATGTCAATATCACTCTCATTTAATGAAGACCCATAGACGTCAAGTATCCATTTCTTTCCTTGTCTGTATGTACTATATCCATAATGAAATCCGTGCCCTACTGAGATAATTAGGACATTGTGTCTATCTGAGATCCACCCAATTCTTCTGACACTGCTTTTATCTACCTTCTCAACTATTATTTCCCTGAAGTCCAGGACAATCTAAACCTTGTATCTCCCATGGCCGTTGGCAAGGTTTTACGGACACAGTAGGCACTTGATGAATGTTTCTTCTTATCGCGATCCTAATATTTGCAGGACAATGTAATATAAAGACAGTTGGACTGGAAGATAGGAAACTTCTAAGTCCAAGTCCTCATTTGGGCCTTGGTTTCCTCATCCATAAAATGAGAAAATTGGACTAAAAAAATCTCCAAAGAATCTTCCAGCTCTAAGTCCTCCTATCATTTTAGTCCTCCTATCATGACTTTATATCATTCCACAGGCCAAGAATTTAATTTTTTTCTCCTATATCCCATTTCCTCCAACCTGTAGTTGCTACATCAAGTTACAGTGGACATGAATGAGAAAGGCACCAAGGCTGCAGCCACCTCCACCTTCCTATCCCAGCCCGAGACCCTGAGCCAAGCATCCCCACTGACTGTTCATTTTGACAGGCCCTTCCTGCTGCTGATTTGGGAAGTGTCTGCCCAGAGTTTGCTTTTCCTTGGAAAAATTATAACCCCAACTGCAAGTTAACTTTGGTAAGAGAATGGGAGCCATTTTCAGAAAAGTTGCTGGGTTTTTTGTTTTGGTTTTTTTTTTTCATCTCTGGTTTTCTTGCATGATGGAGGCAGCAGTGAAATATCTCAATAGTGAATAGTATCAACAACAGTAGTAATAAAAATTATTTGGATGTTTTATGGACATAAAGTATATCTTCTTGTGGTCTGATGGCCATGTACACTGTTTATGCCCCTTCCTCTGCCCATCCTAGAACCACTCACTTTATAATTTCTCATTCATTCATTCCTCCATGCTCCTACAACAGTGACTGCCTTGTAATTCTTGTTGATTGATTGATCAGCCATTATTATAAGATCATAAATATAAAACTAAAAGATGCCTTAAAACCACCTAGTGATGGAATCATAGCTTTTGAGAGTTGGAACGGACCTCCATGGCCATCTATTCCAACCCACACCCAAAAAGGAATGCCCACTATAAAATCTTCCTCTTTGCAAATTCCATTCACTGTTTCTGATTTTGCCCCAGGGGGCCAAACAAAAAGAAATAAAATCTTTCCTCTACATGACAGCCATTCAAATACTTGGAGACAGCTATCATATCCTCCCTCCCAGTCTTCTCTTCTACAGACTTTTTCTACATGCCCAGATCCTTCAATACAGTTAGTCAGCTAATCAAAAAGCATTTATTAAGCTCCTAATATGTGCCAGCATTGTGCTAAGCACTGGTGATACAAACAAAGGCAAAATAAATTCTCTGTTCTTGATGAGTTTACATGCAAACAACTATGTATATGCAAGATAGTTTGGAGATAATCAAGAAGGCATTAGCATTAAGGAGGATCAGGAAAGGCTTCAGGTACAAGGTGTGGGTTTTAGTTGGGTGTAGAGAGAAGCCACAGAAGCCAAGAGGCAAAGATGAGGAAGGAGAGAATTCCAGGAATGGGGGACAGCTCACAAAAATGCACAGAGTTGGAAGATGTGCTATCTTCTTCAAGGAACAGTACGGAGGCTAGTGTCATTGGACTGCTGAGTATATGGGCATGAGTCAAGCGTAAGAAGATTGGAAAGGTGGGGGGAGAGCAAAACAAGTTATGAAGAACTTTCAGTGCCAAACAGAGGGTTTTATATTTGATCCTAGGAGTGATAGGGATTACCTGAAGCTTATTAATGGGAGGAAGGAACGTGATCAGACCTGCTTTTTTGGAAGATCAATTTAACAGCTAAGTAGAGGATAGACTGGAATATGAAGAGACTTGAAACAAGGAGACCAGACAGAGGACTATTATTATAGTCAGGCATGAGGTGACGAGGGCTTGCATGAGTGTGATGGCAGGGTCAAAGGAGAGAAAGAAAACACGTAGGAAAGACGTTTTGAATGCAAAATTGACAAGACTGGGCAAACATTCCAGAAAGCACAGTAGAAAAGGTTGGTAGCTATAGAGTGGCACACAGGGGAGATCTTGAAGAAAATGGGAATAAGGAAGTTGGCAGTGGTGGACAGAGAATAAGTTCAATACTAACAGCTAGACATTAGAGTCACTGGGATGGGGAGGTTATAACCGGTTGAGAGTTTGTTAATCATTGAGGAATAAGCTCAAATAGGTTATGTCAATAGACTCAAGGTCCTCCACTGTCCTGGTTGCTCTCTTCTGGGTACTCTCTAATTTGTCAATGCCCTTCTTAAACTGTGGTGCCCAGAGCTGAATAGAGTCAGCATAGAGCGCAATGGGACTATAACCTCCCTATTCCTGGAAGATAGAGCAGCTAGGTGTTGCCATAGTGCACAGAGCACCAGGCCTAGAGTCAGGAAGATTCATCTTCCTAAGTTCAAATCTGGCTTCAGACACTTACTAGCTGTGTGACCCTGGGTAAGTCATTTGACCCTGTTTGTCTGTTTCCTCAATCTATAAAATGAGCTGAAGAAAGAAATGGCAAACCACTTTGCCAAGAAAACCCTAAATGGGGTCATGAAGAGTTGGATACATCTGAAAAATGACTGAACAACCAACAAAATTTCCTGGAAACTATGCCCCACTTAATGAAGCGCAAGGTCAAATTAGTTGTGTTGGCAGCCACATCATGCTTCTGACTCATTGAGTTTGCAGTCCACTAAAACTTCCAGATATTTTCCAGAATAACTACCATATAACCATGACTTCCCCTAATAATTGTGAAATTGATTTTTTTATACCTCAACTTCATCTTTATATTTATCTCTGCAGAATTTCATCTTATTAAATTAAGCCCAATGTTCTACCTTCTCAAGACCCTTTTTGTGGGCAGAAACTATTTTTATCTTTCTTTGTATCCAGGACACTTAGGCCACACCTGGTGCTTGGTAGACACTTAATAATTGTGTTTTAATTGATTTGTGGATTGATTGAGATCATGACTCTGCCATCCACTATGTTAAATCTCCCTCCTATATTTGTGGCATCTATAAATATTATAAACACCCATATATCTATAAATACCATCTATACCTTTATTCAATTCAATGATAAAAAATGTTAAATAGCACAAAGCTAAGCACAAATTCCCAGGTCTAGCTCCCTCATTTTACAGGTGAGGAAACTGAAGTTCATAGAGGTTAGGTAACTTGCCCATAATTACACAGGTAGTAAGTGGCAAAAGCCAGGATACTCATGAGAACCCAAACACTTTGAATCCAAATGCAACCCTTTCCACAGCTACCTTATCTGTCTACCCAGTCTTAGAGAGATCTTCACTAAAGTCCTTCTCCTTTGCTTTCCTCATATCATGGAAGGGGATCCTGGAATCTTGGAAATGGTACCAACTGGAGTGCAATATTTTAACCCAAATGAGAAGATTAAAAGTATAAGCCAGTTATAGACTGTCTGCCTATAAGGACCAGTCAATAGATCAAAAATATTTATTAAGTGTCTACTACCTCCAGGCACTATGTTTAGAAATCAGGATACAAATACAAATAATGAAACAATCCTGGGGCAGCACCAGCCCTGGAGTCAGGAGGACCTGAGTTCAAATCCAGCCTCAGACACATAACACTCACTAGCTGTGTGACCCTGGGCAAGTCACTTAACCCTGATTGCCTTGCAAGAAAGAAAGAAAAAAACAAACAACTCTACATTCAAAGATAATTGCATTCTATCAGGGGATAAAACATATACATATTTAAGTATATACTGAATAAATACAAAAAGAACAAGTACTAAATAAATTGTTGTTGTCCAGTCATATCTGACTCTTCATGACCCCATTTGGGGTTTTCTTGGAGTGGTTTGCCATTTCCTTCTCCAACTCATTTTATGGATGAGGAAACTGAAGCAAACATGATTAAGTGACTTGCCTAGAGTCACACAGCCATTAAGTATCTGAGGCTGGATTTGAACTCAAGTCTTCCTAACTCCAGGCTCAGCACTATAACCACTGAGCCACCTCACTGCCTTCACAAAAATAAATGTAAGCAGTCAAAAATGAGGTTGTTCAGGAAGGAAGGAATCAGAGGCAGGGGGTTGAGGAAAGGCTTCATGCAGAAGATGGTGCTTAAGCTGAATCTTAAAGGGAGACAGGGAGTCTATGAGGCTTAAGGGAGGAAGGAGTACATTCTAGGAGTGAGGAATGGGCAGTGAAAAGGTACAGAGAAAAGAGATAGAGGAACAGAGAAAAGATAAGCTTGGCTGGATTGTAAAGTGTGGGAAAAGTATTTTATTTTGAGTCCAGGAAGAGAAGCTGGGGCCAGGTTGTGAAGGGCTTTTAAAGCTAAACAGATGAGATTTTCTGGTTTACCAATGGCTTTTTCTACTACAAGAGAAGCACATGCAACTGGACTTTGTTCGTTGCTGTTGTTCGCTCGTTTTTTCAGTCATGTCCAACTTTTTATGACCCCATTTGAGGATTTCTTGGAAAAGATACTAGAGTGGTTTGTAGTGGTGAAAGAGCCCTGGGGGATGGGGGGTTGGAGAGAGATGATCTTTATCTTCATTGATTCCTGAGAAGTCTTTCCTGGGTCTTTGCTCAGTGACTTAAACCATGGAGAAAAGTAGGCTACACAGTCAAAGGCTCTCCCTTTGGGGGCAAGTCCAATGGAAGAACTTTTCCTGTGCCTCCCACCATATACAGCTGTTTCTGGGGCATGTTAGCACCCACCAGAGGTATCATACACCTTTGGCCAAATTTAGTAACTAAATTGATGGCCTTACAAGAATGGCTTAGATTGGGGAGTGGCTCCATCAACACTCTGGACACAAGGGCCATGATGCCATTTGGTTCTGGATGTAGAAGCATATGTTCTCCCTAAGCACAAGGCAGCTATGATGTTCCTCATAGCAGTCAAAGCACTGACCTCTGAAGGACTAGTGAGGCACGCTTGCATGCTGTACCTGACCTACCCCTGGCAAATTTATTATATTGCTCTTTTCCCTCACCTCATGGCAAGAGGTTTACCCTTGATGCAGTTGACAGCTATGGGGGAATGACGCCGCTGCACCAGTCAAGTCTGCCAGCGTGGTAGCCACTATCAAAGCTCTCACAGAGGAAATCCTCCTTCCTTAAGGACCCATCTTTCATCATTGCCCCTGATCAGATCATCTTGCCTACATTATGAGGAAGGTCCGAGATTGGATTTACCACCAACAAATCTGCTTATTTCTTTCACTTCATATACCATACTCTGACAGCTAGCCTTGTTGAACACCATAACAGGTTCCTAAAATAACAGCGTTGTCAGCATGTTTGGCTGTCCTACCTCCTAGAAACTGTGCCTTCAACAAATTAATACCTAGCAACAGAAAAGATTCTCCATTCCAATGATTTCTCAGTTCCAGCTTGTAGGAAGATCTACCTAATAAGAATGGACCACTTGTAAACATAGTTCCAGTTGAGTTTTTTTAGGTCCTTAATTGTTCCATTGCCTGCATGGAGTCACCTGGGTGTCAAGATTTCTGCTCCTTCAGGTGGTTTCATGTACCCTTAGGAAATAGTTCAGTTACTCTCCAATTGATAGGTCTCATTTCCCATAAGATAGTTTAGACAACTACTTCCCACAGAGAATTCGGGGGCTCCCTTGAAAGAGTAGGTTTTGGTGAGCAGGACAAGGAATACTGAGTGAATGGGGAGAGTTTCAGTATCAAACTTATATCTAGGACTGGGTTATATAAAAGAGGCTAACGACAGCCTTACCTAATTTATGACAAGTGACCCTGTTCCATAGAACAAAGCAGGGTATAACAGCACAGCAGAGGATAGGAAGGTAGACCCTAGAGATAATTCTCAGTATGACCACACTTGAAAGCTGGTCCTCTTCCCTGATGCTTCTGGTGCTGCTCCTGCTCATTATCTTCACCTAACACCAGGTGACCCACTGCAAAATGCAAAGATTTAGTATCATTCACAAGATTGTTGAGATCTGGGACTATGTCCTTTGGAAAGGGCAAGGCAAACCCTACAATTTCTAGTCTTCACTGTTTTCTACTTTGGGTAACTCTTTCAGGGAGGCATTAAACATTTTGCTTTTGTTTTGTTTTTGCTATATTTGAAGTTTATGGATTTTTTCCTCCTTTTTCCTCCAGCA